AATGAGAAGGCTTCAGCACCCCCACCAGCACTGATCATGTTACCCAGGTAACAGAACTCATTAACAGAGTGCAAGGAATGTCCTGGTAAATTCAGTTGATCTGTATCCACTATATTTACATTATTCTGTTTAATTACAGTGCAGTAGTTAGACTACTTCAGAATGGTAGTTATTTTTCCATTTTATAGCTGGACACCTTATATCTAAAGTAAATGATGTTGCCATTCAAGAGTTTAAGATCACCATGAATAAGTATGAATAAGTTTAATTCAACTTACTTCCTTTTGGGTATCAATAAGTAGCTACCCTGCAAAAACTTTTAAATTTGAGGCCAGACATTTGGGTAATAGATGTAAATATTGATAGTTTTGGTTTCTGTGTACTGTAATTGTTTTATAAAACAGTTCATGAGATTTGTACATGTATTCTACTGATGTATAAAAGGGATCATGAAAACATATGTAATAACTCAGGAATGTTTTGGAAGTGGCGCTCCATCCACACTGATGATTCGTGTGATAGGGTATGCTGCAGACATCAGCTGGACAAATTGAAAATATGTTCATATTTTCATTCATAAACTAAATTTGAAATGTTTTCTTCTGTGCCCATCCAAAGATGCTTATAACTTCTTTCACTTCAGTTTTCAATACCTCTCAGTTTAGGTTGTGCTTATATATATCAGACCTTGTAAACTTGCCATAAATTCAGAATTGATCATTAAATCCCATCTATGGCCATTGGTGGTCAAATTTTCATAGTTTTCTCCCATCTGCCGGGTTTAAGAAATAGGAGTAGCCAGATTGAGGGGCAAGTGAACAAATTTAAAGGAATTTAGAGCCAGTTATGTTTTCGTTGATAAGAGTAAAGTAGAGATATGATCTTGGGAGACTTTTCATGTTCTGGTGATCTTTTGGCCCTTAGTCATGTCAGTCTTTTCCTTTGGAACCCTCTCCTTTTAGGGTTAAGAGATCCAGTTCTGAAGTGGAAAGCTAACTACCATTTGGAGGTAATTTACTAACTACAGGTATTTTCAAATAAGATAAGATGGATGTTGTGGATATCACAGCCATTTTGCTCATCACTGGTCATAATTAGGGATATCAGAATAATCTTTCCCTTTAGTATTTACATTCATACATGATACAGTACTGTTTTTTATGTGTATTATGTTTTTCTTCTACAGCTGCTTAAGGATAAGAAGAAGACAGCCGCAGCAGCTAAAAAAGCCAAGTGAAAACTGTCAGATGTATGTATATTAGAATTTAAAATTTATATAAAATAAATAAATTAAAAACCAAACCAAGTTTCATTACTGTATAGTATATGAGTTGCTAGGTTAGTTCCTTAGGTCTAACCTCAACTAAGTCTGCAGAAGATACGGTACCTGTTTTCATATTACTCTAAATCAATTAACTGACTTACATATAAAGTATTCTTATTGTTTGTTTGTTCTATCTCCCTATGTAAAATCAGTACAGTATAGATTTTTGTGGTTGTTCACTACTGAATATTTACCAGTTAGCAGCCTGTACAGCTACTGTATCATTATGTATTGGACCGAAGTGGCTATTCTTATGCCAGCTGTAAGGAAAACACCGGGGACTATTCTTACGCCAGTCCTATTGCACATGTTCAAGATGTAAATGACCAACCCCATGCTAGAGTGTGAGTGGGTGTGAAGAAGGAGTAAGTGTATGTGGGGAGAGAGTGTGTACAGGAATATTTTAATCAATATTGTGATAACTTATCTGAGTTATGCTGTGACAAATACAGGTAGTCCCCGACTTACGACCACATGGACTTACGTCCATTGGTACTTACGACCTGCTCTGACCGTACGTCCGTCGGGACATACGACCGCGACCGTCGTGACCAAAAATATTTTCAAATGACGCGTGCATTTTCTATACCGAAACGTTTCTGTCCGGGGCGAGAGGGTGGCGCGTCTCGTGGGTACACTCACTCAGTGGAGCGCTTAGTTTGTGTTTGGCTATCGTATCCTTTACTGATCGCGCTGTGAACTTTCGTTATTATCGTATTTAATTGACTTTATAATGACTGGAAAGCGTAAAAGTGAGAGTGCTGGTGGTGTTCCAAAGAAAAGGAGACAGGCAATTACTTTTGAGATGAAAATGAAGATAATAACACAGCATGAGAATGGAAAAACAGTAGCAACAATCTCACGCGACCTAGGTTTCTCACACTCGACTATATCCACTATTCTGAAGGACAAGGAACGTATTCGTGAAGTAGTGAAAGGAACAACACCTATAAAGGGAACTATAATATCAAAGAGAAGACAAGGTCTTATTCACGATATGGAAAAATTATTGGTGATATGGATAGAAGACCAGATACAGAATCGTGTACCCTTAAGCCTTCTAACCATAAGGCTAAAGCAAGAAGCCTGTTCTAAAGCCTGAAGGAGCAGGCAGGAGATGAATGTGATCAAACCTTTACAGGAAGTCATGGGTGGTTTGATAGTTTTAAAAAACGCTACAGTCTACACAATGTTAAGGTGAGTGGAGAGGCAGCTAGTGCCGATGTTGGTGCTGCCGAATCTTTTAAGGAGGAGTTATATGAAGTGATTGTGGAAGGGAATTATTTGCCTGAGCAAATATTCAATGTGGATGAGACTGGATTATTGTGGAAGCACATGCCTGAGCGGACATACAGTTTCAAAGGAGTTACCGGTAATGAAAATGAAGTTATGTCGGATATTAGTAACAAGATAGTGGAGTTAGAAATTGATTATGAAGATGTTGGACAGTTCGTTGAAAGTGTAGCAGAAGAGCTCAGTGACGAGGATCTTATTGAACTAGATGCACAGAAAATTGCAGAGGAAGAAGAGCGACAAAATGTAGAAGAAGAACCTGCACCCCCCATAAAGTTTTCAGTGAAACATATGGCAGAGGCATTTGCTACAGTTAATAAAGGAATGCAAATGTTTGATGGCATGGATCAAAAGTATGAGCATTATGCCAAAGTTGACAGAATGGTCCAAGAGTCACTAGCTTGCTACAGGGAGATTTATAATGAAAAGAAAAAGCAAACTGTGCAGTCTAAATTGGACATCTATTTCAAGAAGTCCCCCAGTGCTGTCTCCTCACACCCCACCAGTGCTGCCTCTTCACTCCCTCAAGATGATCCAATACCTGTCTGAAGAAAGCGACATTGATGACCCACCCAGCCCTGTCTCCTCCTCTGCTTCTTCCAATTAATAGAGTCTCCATGTATCCTGTAAATGGAAAATTATGGGGGCCCCGTGTGCATTCAGCTGACTACATTTAAGGTAAGTGCTCAGTCACACTGTATCCATTCCTCATTATTTATTACTTTTACTGTACTGTATCCCTTCCTCATTATCTATTACATTTAGTGTACTGTATTTCATTGTAGATTTTTAATTTTTTTTGAAATTTTTTTATTTATTTATTTTTTATTTATTTTTTTTATTTTTTTATCTATGTCGGACTTACGACCATGTCGGATTTACGACCTGGATTTGGGTCCCTAACCCCGTCGTAAGTCGGGGAGCACCTGTAAACACTTGGTTGTACATGAACTAGTTTTATTATCCCGCTTCAACCTCCCTAGCTCCAGGCGAAGGCGGAGAGGCTATCGTAATCGGTTGGTGTTCGTGTGTGTGTGCGTAATTGTTTACATCGGCATGTATTTGTGCTATGTCTAACTGTCTGTTTAAATATTTAAATATTTCAGTGTTTTTATTTATTTTAGTTGGTCACATGATCATCTGTGACAAAGTGATGGGAAGAAGGAAAATTGACAAAGAATAACAATAAAACAGAAGAAACAACAAAAAATGACCCAAAAATGTAATGTGAAGGATTTTGAATTAACAGACTTATTAACAGGATATTTAAACCAATTACAGTACCAGCAGAAAAGTTATTGATAAACAAGGAAGTAATAATATTCAGAGGTTAGGAAGGAGGAAGGAAAGTAAGGATAGAGGTGGGGGAGCAATAGCATCATGGTCGTCATGTGACCGACTGCCGACCCAAGCAGCTAACGAACCAATCGGTGGTATTTCAGTAAAACTGTAGTTTCGGACAATATGCCCTAGTAGTTGAGCAGTGTGTTTTTACAATGGTTGAGATAATTTTAAGACACTTTTCTTCTATGACGATTCTGTTGCAAATGACCTGAAATTACCTAACATCCTAACCAAGGGGGCAGGGGGGCTCCTCCATCCTGAGGACCCTACATCTGGGAGGGTCTATAGGAGCACTACCCCTGAGAAGGTCCCTGTAGATGCTGTTGCTGGGTGTACCCCTTGGGAGGGCCACTGTGGTCTCTGCCCCAGTGAGAGCCCCCACGAACCCTCCCAGGGGGCTTCGACGCCCCCAGGGACCCTCCAAGGTAAGGCAGAGACTCCAGGGGCTGTGGTACCCCCATGGGCCCTGCTCCCCAGGGACCCTCCCATGGGCCCTGTGCCCCCAGGGAACCTTCCATAGGCCCTGCACCCCCAGGGCCTCTCTCAGGGGGGTGGCACTGCTAGGAACCCTCACAGGGGCGGCAGTGCTCCAAGGGACCCTCAATTGACGGCGGCGCCTCCAGTGACTCTCCCATGGGCAGTGTCCCCCCGGGGACCTGTGGCATGCTTGGTCTTTGTATTACATACTTCCCGCAGTCCCTTACTTAATTATGATTGGAGGACTATCCTTTTAACCCACCAGATTACAGCCAATAGGAGAAGAGAGGAGTCAGTCAGCACAACACCACAGTTTATGTTTGCCTGTCGGATATTATTGTCCATTACGTTGTTAAGATTATGATGATACTGCGAATGTGATGGGCGGTGTATTTATTGAACGTTGTATCTCCCAGAGTTCTAAATAGTGCAAAAACTGGGCACCCAGGGGCCCTACAGGTCATGGCGTTCCCAGGGGCGGTGGCGCCCCTAGAGGCCTTCCAGGGGCGGTGTTACCCCCAAGGACCCTCCCAGGGACCCTCCCAGTGGTGGCGGTGTTCTCATGGACCCTCCCAGGGATGGCGGTGTTCTCGTGGACCCTCCCAGGGGTGGCGGTGTTCTCATGGACCCTTCCAGGGACGGCGGCGCCCTAAGGAACCTTCCCAGGGTCGGCGACACTCCCAGGGACCCTCCTAGGAGCAGCAGTGCTCCCAGGATCTCTCCGGGGGACAGTGAAGCCTCCATCAACTCTGCCAGGGGAGGCGACGCACCCAGGGAACCTCCAAGGGGCAGTGGAACTCCCAGGGACCCTACCCGGGGCGGCAGCTACCCCAGGGCTCCCCCAGGGGCGGCGGTGAACACTACGGACCCTCCCATGGGTGGCGGCGCCCCCAGGAATCCCTCCCAAGAGCAGCGACGCCCTCTCAGACCCTCCTATGGGCGGCGGCGCTCCCAGGGGCCTTCCCAGCGGCAGCGACGTCGACAAGGGCCCTCTCAAAGGCGGCGGTACCCCCATGGGTAGTGGCGCCCCTAGGGGCCCTTGCAGGGGTGTTGGCGCCACCAGGGCTCCTCCCAGGGGCGGCAACACCACCAATTACCCTCTCATGAGTATGAACATGTGGTCCACGATTCGATTGCAGAGTAATTAGTGGCCAAAATGAGCCTTAAAAGATTTTAATGACATTTTTCAATGCTAATTACTCATCAAATATGGGTTTCCAAGGTGTGATTTAGGGTTTGTGTGTTATTCTGAAAGTACTTAATTAGTTAAACCCCTTAAATTTGAATTTTGAGAAAAACGTATATTTTGGTCAAAAAATTTTGTAAGGTATAAGTCTTACCTTTTTGGTGGTATTTGGCCAAAAATTAGATTTTGCTGAAAATCACACTATGGGCATTCCTGAGCTTGCTGAGTATGAACATGTGGGCCACGATTCGATTGCAGAGTAATTAGTGGCCAAAATGACCCTTAAAAGATTTTACTGACATTTTCAATGCTAATTTCTCATCAACTATGGGATTCCAAGATGTGATTTTGGGTTTGTGTGTTATTCTGAAAGTACTTAATTAGTTAAACCCCTTAAATTTGAATTATGAGAAAAAAGTATATTATGGTCAAAAATTTTGTAAGGTATAAGACTTACCTTTTTGGTGGTTTTTTGCCAAAAATTTGATTTTCCTGAAAATCATAGTATAGGTTTTCCTGAGGTTGCTGAGTATGAACATGTGGTCCACGATTCGATTGCAGAGTAATTAGTGGCCAAAATGACCCTTAAAAGATTTTAATGACATTTTTCAATGCTAATTACTCATCAACTATGGGTTTCCAAGGTGTGATTTAGGGTTTGTGTGTTATTCTGAAAGTATTTAATTAGTTAAACCCCTTAAATTTCAATTTTGAGAAAAAAGTATATTTTGGTCAAAAATTTTGTAAGGTATAAGACTTACCTTTTTGGTGGTATTTGGCCAAAAATTAGATTTTGCTGAAAATCACAGTATGGGCATTCCTGAGCTTGCTGAGTATGAACATGTGGGCCACGATTCGATTGCAGAGTTAATTAGTGGCCAAAATGACCCTTAAAAGATTTTACTGACATTTTCAATGCTAATTTCTCATCAACTATGGGATTCCAAGATGTGATTTTGGGTTTGTGTGTTATTCTGAAAGTACTTAATTAGTTAAACCCCTTAAATTTGAATTCTGAGAAAAAAGTATATTATGGTCAAAAATTTTGTAAGGTAAAAGACTTACCTTTTTGGTGGTTTTTTGCCAAAAATTTGATTTTCCTGAAAATCATAGTATAGGTTTTCCTGAGGTTGCTGAGTATGAACATGTGGTCCACGATTCGATTGCAGAGTAATTAGTGGCCAAAATGACCCTTAAAAGATTTTAATGACATTTTTCAATGCTAATTACTCATCAACTATGGGTTTCCAAGGTGTGATTTAGGGTTTGTGTGTTATTCTGAAAGTATTTAATTAGTTAAACCCCTTAAATTTCAATTTTGAGAAAAAAGTATATTTTGGTCAAAAATTTTGTAAGGTATAAGACTTACCTTTTTGGTGGTATTTGGCCAAAAATTTGATTTTGCTGAAAATCACAGTATGGGCATTCCTGAGCTTGCTGAGTATGAACATGTGGGCCACGATTCGATTGCAGAGTTAATTAGTGAACAAAATGACCCTTAAAAGATTTTACTGACATTTTCAATGCTAATTTCTCATCAACTATGGGATTCCAAGATGTGATTTTGGGTTTGTGTGTTATTCTGAAAGTACTTAATTAGTTAAACCCCTTAAATTTGAATTCTGAGAAAAAAGTATATTATGGTCCAAAATTTTGTAAGGTAAAAGACTTACCTTTTTGGTGGTTTTTTGCCAAAAATTTGATTTTCCTGAAAATCATAGTATGGGTTTTCCTGAGGTTGCTGAGTATGAACATATGGTCCACGATTCGATTGCAGAGTAATTAGTGGCCAAAATGACCCTTAAAAGATTTTAATGACATTTTTCAATGCTAATTACTCATCAACTATGGGATTCCAAGATGTGATTTTGGGTTTGTGTGTTATTCTGAAAGTACTTAATTAGTTAAACCCCTTAAATTTGAATTCTGAGAAAAAAGTATATTATGGTCAAAAATTTTGTAAGGTATAAGACTTACCTTTTAGGTGGTTTTTGGCCAAAAATTAGATTTTGCTGCACCCCCAGGACACTCCCATGGGCCTGGGACCATCAGGGACCCTCCCAAGAGTGGCGGTGTTCCCAGGAACTCTCCCAGGGGCAGCGGAGCTTTCAGGGATTTTCCGACGGGCAGCGGCGTTAGTAGAGACCCTCCCATGGGTGGTGGTGCCCCCTGTGGCCCTCCCAGGGGTGGCAGCATCTGCAGGGAACCTCCCATAGGCAGTGGTGTTCCCAGGGATCCCCCCACGTGCAGCGATGTGCCTATGGACAGTCCCAGGAACGGCAGAGCCCCCAATGACCCTTCCAGGGGCGGCGGAGCCCCAAGGGGAGGCCCCCAGGGACCCTCCCAGGGGCGACAAATCCCCCAGGGATACCCTCAAGGGGCGACGGCATCCTCAGAGACCCTTCCGGGTTCATGACGCCCCTCAAAACACAGAGTAGGTGGCGCCTCACAAGAGTGTCGATGCCCCCAGGGACCCTCCCATGGGCCTGGCGTCATCAGAGACCCTCCCAGGGTCGGCGGCGCTACTAGGGACCCTCCTAGGTGCGGTGGCGCCCCGGGACACTCCCTTGGACCTGGCACCCTCCCAAGGATGGCTGGTTCTCCCAGGGACGGCGATGCCTTTAGTGAACCTCCCAAGGGCAGCAAAGCCCCCAAGGATCCTCCCAGGGGTAGATGTGCCCCCAGGGATCCTCCTAGGGGTGGCAGAACCCCCAGACCCAACCCTCAGAGGGATCCTTCCAGGGGTGGCGGCACCACTAGGGACAATCCCAGGAGCAGCAGTGGGAGGGTCCCTGTGGTCACACCCCTGGGAGGGTCCCTGTGGTCATCCCCTAGGAGGGTCCCTGTGGTCACCCCCTGGGAGGGTCCCTGTGGTCACCCCCTGGAAGGGTCCCTGGGGGTGCCTGCATCAATGGGAGGGTCCCTGGGAACACAGTCACCCCTGGGATGGTCCCTAGCAATGCCACCGACCCTGAGAGGGCTCCTAGGGGCGCCACTGTCTTTCGAGAGCCCCTGGGTGGCCACTCTTAGGGGGTCTCTGTGGACTTTGCCACTCCTGGGAGGTTCCCTGGGGTGCTACCATTCCTGGAAGGGTCCCTAGGTGCGTCGCCGCCCCTGGGAGGGTTCCTGTTGCCGCCGTCACCCCTGGGAGGGGCTCTGGGGGCGCCGCCCGTTTTGGGAGGGTCCGTGGGGGGTTCTCCGCCCCTGAGAGGGTCCCTAGGGACGTCGCTAACCCTGGTAGGGTCCCTGGAGTTCTGCAGCCCCTGGCAGGGTCCCTGGGAGCACCGCCACCCCTAAGAATAATCCCTGGCGGCACCACTGCCCCTGGGAGGGTCCCTAGGGGTGCCGTCGCCCATTAGAGGGCCCCTAGGGGTGCTGCCACCTTTGAGAGCGCCCCTGGGGCACTGCTGGGAGGGCCCATGGGGGGTGCTGCCTACTCTGACAGGTTTTCTGCGGACCTCATACCCCCGGGAGGGTCTCTGGGTGCCCCACCGCCCCTGGGAGAGTCCCTTGAGGCACCTCCGACTGGGAATTTTCTTGACAAGCCCCCATTGCCCATTCTTTGGAACTGGTGCAGTAGGCAAGTTTATTTTACACATTCACATTTACAGACACAACTCTTGATTAGATACAGAAAATTCATGATCACTGTTTGACAAACATAGCTGTACACACAAGCTGATCCTTTTATCCCCTCCCAGTTAGGAGTTAAAAATGAAAACTCACAGTGAGACCGAAAACTCTGACATCGTTGATGAACACTATTTCTGCCGAGTGGTGGTATGTATACAATACACTTACCCAAGTTAAAGGCTGAAAAAATCATATTATACAGCATTTATTTAAGGTATATTATATAAAAGCTTTAATACAGTATCACTGAATGATGGTAAAAATATCAAATATTACACATTCATTAATTTTGATTGACAAGAAATCAGTAACTTTATTTGATACTGTACTGTACAGTATATGCCACTTCCTAGATAAGTCTTCCTCTTTCAATAAGAAGCAATATACATCAACTATTGTGCACTCATATCGTAACTACGTTTTATAAAAAAAAAATTGTTACTCTACTGTATATTGCTATTTGAGCAGCATGATCTTAAAGTCTCTGCAGAGTGAATATACATGTACTGTATACTGTAGAAATATAAGTATCATATACAAGCCATAGTCAAACTGAGGAATAAAAGTGGTTCAATAATTTATATTTCATATGAAAACTGAAAAATGAGTTTCTAAATCCTTGTGATACCCTAGAGTAAAGAAATAATCTATGTAAACAATCAAGCCTTAAAGAGTGAACCAGCCCTAACTTTTAAGGAGGTCATGGTATTCTAATAAAACTAGATACTTTACTGTTTTTTCTCATCTCACACTATCATATATATTTAATAACACTCAGTGAGGGCAGATGTAATTCACCATTATATAGTACATCTTAAAATCAAGATATAGATCCATTCTCACAACAAATATTCATGTTCATATGTTTTGTGTCTGAATGTTTTACATGAAAGTTCTTGAAAGAGAGAGAGAGGGGGGGGGGCAGGATAATTCATTGTCATCGATTTCTTCACCTTGGTCTATGGGAGGAAAATACTTTTTTACTACCAATATCTACATCCAATCACTAAGAAGCCAAAAAATTCCCTTCTTATCTCAGTATTATATGATAGATAAGGCAATAAGCCACTAGGCTAACTCCCCACAATATGGGGGAGAAATTTATTATGAAAGTGAGGCCTCTCATAGCATACCATGTAAGTCTTGAATTGGCCCTGCTGCACAATTTGCTGCCATAGCTCCTCAATAAAAATGGGTACAGTACATTTTGGTGGGTCTTGCTTTGATAGCCCAAAGTCTTTTAGATGTCCATATCTTATGAATGCCTTTAAGATATTGGCAAAAGGTTTTCATTTGTACAATTTCTGAATTAATACTAAGGGCATAGAACTAATTTAATCATATTAATTAAAAGTTCTTAATTTTTTTTATGCAGTACATTAAATTTTATTGGAAATTTAACTCCATTACTCTTATAATTTTCTGCAAATGAAACTATGGTAGATAAAAATCAATTTGATTGTTATAATTATTCAAAACAGACCTTTTGTGAACTAAAGATTATATCAATTCTTTAGATACGTGGTCATCAACACCCAAAATTATTATGTAATTAGTTATATGCTGTACACCTCCAATAATTTTCAAACAAATTGTCACCTATAAAGGAAATATAAAAGTCCTCCTCATATGTTTTGAACTTTTAAGATATACAGTATATTTTATTTGCTAATTTTATATATATATATATATATATATATATATATATATATATATATATATATATATATATATATATATATATATATATATATATATATATATATATATATATATATATATATATATATATACCTGTATAACCAGTCATGCTTCATCAAACATTCAAACATTGCATAATCTTTACCAGCTATGGACAACTGTGTCAACTGTAAATTTCCTAGCTTATCAAATTAGCATGCCAGATGCGATGATCATGACATGGAAACCACCAGCAAGAAGTACTGTAGTGTAGTCATATTAAATGGGCTAATATTTAATGGGATCACTTGCAGCAGCTACAAGTACAGTATGTTATATTCACTCTTAAAAGGTCAAGCCTTTAGCAACACTGCTCCCTGTACAGTACACTCTTATCTTAACAGTTGTGCTAAACAGGAACAGACCACAAGATTACAGATAAAGGCATTAGAGAAATCGGTTTATCAGACTGTCAGGTCCTACCAGAAGTATGTTTTGTCTCAACTTATCTAAATTATGTTTATCAATAAAAGAAAATAAATTCCAACTCCCAAGAATGGTGAAGAAGGTGGTAGAAGCAGAAACCTCTAATCAATAAAAATCTTGTTCTTGGAATGAAAAACCTCTAACATACAGTGGATGAAAGATATACTGTACTGTACCAATGATTTGTACAGGCATACACAAAGAAGTTTCTAATGGGTATACAGGAATTACAAATTTGATATTGGAGCATGGTACAGTATCAGAATTACCTCTAATTATGGGACATATTTGGTACTGTAATAATTTATGTATATCTGCATTGTCCATTTCCTACATAAGGATGTTTTGTGATACTGTATTGTTGTTAAGGTTCATACAAATATTTTCAATGTACAGTATTTCTTTCTTTATAGCTGGGATAACTACAGGGCCGGCTCTAGCTTCTGGGGGACCCTGTGCAAGATAATGGTTGGGGGCCCCACTCATTAGACAACCTTCCTATCGTGCCCAGTCCCTCACCCACATATATTACTGATTTTCTATGAGGACATCATCTTGATACCGTTATACAAACACTCATACAAATATATGTAACAGGAAGGTAAATCAATATCAGTTGTCAGGTTTTTATAAACAGAAATAACCAAAGCCCAGACTTACTTGCACCAGATGGCAGAAATGCACTCACTTGCAGTTTTGAGATGCACACGCCACATCAGAAACGAAATATGAATCCTACTAAACAACAAATATATTGTTTTCAGGAAGCCCCCCCCCCCCCTAAGTGATACGGGCTCTGTGCAGCCGCACATAGCTGGGGCCGGCCCTGGATAACTACATTTTCATTGTAGTTATTCAAATAGTGATGGCAGTTTAATATTAGATGTTATTAAAATCATAACAAAACTATTAGTCAGTTTTTCAAAAACACATACCCGGTATGAAATTGTTAGTCTTTCACAAACACAAAACACTTTTATTTAAAGCGTCAAAGATATTAAACACAATCACGAGGACTTAAATAGACTTCTACATATAAAAAATCATCATAACTTATTAACTATGAAAAGTTCCATAACACTAAACTTGTGGAACATAGCATGACAGTGAGTAGTCTGTATGAACCATCAATAAAGCTGATTAATTCTCCATGTACTGTACCACAAGGAACCTATAAACATTAAAATTAATTTGAATAGGTTATTCCCAGTGATTTAGTGATACCCAGGCATGGGCATATTCATGGGCTGTGTAGGGTATGGAGATGACCACTGGTTAGGTCCATAGCCAGCACCACCACTAGCTGGAGGCTGGGCAGGATATGGTGCACTATGTGCACTACTTTGTTTATTCAAGATGTCCTCAATCTTCTCGGCTTTGATCCGCCTCAAGTGTGCAGTTTTCCTCTTGGACAGGAATTCAGACAAGAATTCATCTACATCTTGTTCCTTGTCAAGAAATGACAGCACAAGATTCTGAAAAATTTAATTTTGATGGTGACAAAAATATTTACCTCAGCAGAGAAACTTAAACTAAAAAGAAAAATAAATCTTGGTAGTGATGACGATGTACAGTCCCCTTCACTAGTGCATTTACAGGGGCTTGTCATATAAACATTCCACTATTCATTACATTGAGATATTTGTTTTAATGTTGTTTTAATACTGTTTTACTTTGATTCTATAGTATGTTTACTATTGCAAATTTCTTTCTGTCAACTGTAAACAAACACAGGGCTGCCAAACTGCACAAAACCTGACAAGCCCCTGTAAATGCACTAGTGAAAGGGACTGTATATTACAGTATACAGGACTATAAATCTATAAACCAGAAAAGACTTACTGAGCCAGCTGGGAGAATACAAACTCAGTTACTGTACCTCAAACATTATCTCACACAAGTATATACACATGCCACACAAATATACTCAAATTCACAGTTGCCCACTAAAATATATATACCTGTACAGTACATCATTAAGGAAGATGAAGGCAAGGTACCCATATACTGTAATTGATGGTTCCTCTTATGATTTTTTTGTCAGTGGCCCAAGGTTAAAAATTCTTTGAAAGCATTTGAGGTAGATATAGGGTAGATGATTAGTGGATCTCATGTTTTTGACCTGCCTTGACATGACTTGTTACCTCGCCCATTTTTATAAGCTCTTCTTTCGTGTGCAGTGGAGGTGGTGTGTGGATTAGTGGATCCCATGTAATTAACCTAACCTCATGTTATGTAAGGTCACCCTTTGTATATTTTTACTTTTATCCTCTTCACCACTGATCGGCTTGTTAGCTGCTTGGGCAATCGGTCACGTCTCTGTTATGCACTGTTAGCAAGTACTGGGCATGCACTGGCTCTTGATTGTATCTGAACCTGCTCCAGTGTTGGTCAAGTCTGGTCTTGAAAGAGCTCACGCTCGTTGCTGTCACAACACTGGCAGATTGTTCCAAGAGTTCACAACTCTCACTTCGAAAAAGTTACCCCTCACAGTTTTCTGGGCTTGCGGCTTCTTCAACCTTGAGCTGTGACCCTTGTGGGGCGAGAGTCCGCCAGCTCCAGGTAAGGGCACTCAACTGAGTAGTGCCCTTAGAGATGTTTATACACCTCAACTAGGTCCCCCCTTGCCCGTCTGTAGTATAAGCTAGGCAATTCCAGGCGCTCTAATCTCTCAGGGTATGCCTCCACAGTCCCTATCTTTCTTAAAATATCACTAGGAAGTTCATAACTTGCACAACAGGTGTTCTGTCTTTTTAACCCATACTTTATTGTAAGAATTGCCTTTAATGTCGATAGTTTCATTTTGTTGTGCAATTTTGATTTCACAAAGTTCATATTGCTAAATGTGCGCTCTACATCTGCGTTTGAATGCGGAAGAGATAAGGCAGCGAGTGCAATTTCAGCCAGATCATGGTAAGGGTTTTCACCTGTCTCATCTCTGTAATTTGCCACTTCTGACCACAATTTTAGGGTGTTAGATGTTTCTGTCCAGATTGTGTGATGCAGTTTTTTCCACTGGAAATCAATCTTGGTAAGGGTGCTGGAATCTTCTGTAAATAAGTGTGCCAAACCAAGTATATCTGATTTAATAGGCTTCAAGCATTCATCGGCACTCAGAAAAGAAATAGACTGCAGCACACGAATGTTGTCAGGTAAGCGTTGACGAAGTTGTTTTATGAGTTCAACAACAAAATTAATGCATCTTTCTCGTACAATGCTTTCAACCTGTGGGGGAAGCTTGCATTCATCCATTTTTTTTTCGAACTGAAAGCCCAAGTATGGCCTAGGATCCAAGTGTTCTTCAATAACAGTGCAGTTTGAGAGTTTTTCCCCGGGAGTCAGTATCTTAGAGCCCAATGAATCAATAAGTAAAACCAAATCCTTCATCAGTTTTGTTGGGTCCTGCATTTCTGCTTCAAAGGCCAGGTTTACAGCTTGTACCTCTGCAAGCACTGGCCTAAGAAATAAGAGAAATGCATGATTTTCCTCATCATCTAACATTGAGTGCAAAAGTTCTGCTGTGTAACATCTTTCTTGTAGTTTTGCTACCTGGAAGTGGGTCTTCAGCTCGAGCCACTGTTGTAGAATTCTCCCCACAGCGCACTCAATAGATAACCAGCGAGTCTGACACAGCTGTATCAATTTCAAAGGTGGTACACCATCATTGATAGTTTCATAGAGTTCTTTGTACTTAGCCTGACGGACAGAAGAATGACAAAACCAGTTATATATTTCCTTAATCATGAACTCTAAGTGCCGTGGCATTTTCTCGCACGTAGCATGTGACACAGCAAGCTGTAGGGAGTGGCATACACATTTAATTAGCTGTAGATGTGGGACTTCAGCTTTTAACCTTGCGAACACTCCACTGTTAATTGTCTGTCCCAAGTGCAAGTCAATTCAGCAGGTCTAGTCCATTGTCTTTGATCGACTGTTTCAGTGCCTCACAAATTGCTTCTGCATTACACCCACCCAGTTCCACTAAATCTATGATTAAACTGAATTTTCTATCAGCAATATCATTTTTCAGATTTTCTGTGAAATGTGGCGCAAGAATCTTGCATATTATCCCAGAACACTTTGATCTTTTTAACTTGAGTTCACTGCCTGCCTTGCTGTCACTAAAACATACTTTACACACTTCACTTAAGTGTTCTACCACACGAATAGAACAATGTTCAGCTACAAACATGGCCCTCCACTCTTTCTGCACTAAACGGCTCTTCTGCTTTCTTTTGATTTTTAGTGTTTTTGTGTTTTTCAATGTCCACAACTTAGCAGACAAAGTACACTTGCAAAATTTACAAAATACTTTTTTATTATCTCCTGGCACCTCCAGAAGCCAATTATTGTATCTGTCATCTCTGGGCCATTCCTTCCTAAATCGCTGCGAATACTGTGGCTTACCCATTTTCTATTGGGACTATGAAGGGTTCAAATTAATAAACAGCATGCAAACAAGCGGAAACTTTCCTTGATGGTTTTTGGCAAAGCGGGTGAACAGTGTCGACTTGCGGGGCAACTGTATGGAGTCTATGGGTCACCCATGGTGGACGCGTATGAGAAGTTTGGAACCACGCAGGCTTGATAGAATTAATTATATAAGATGTTTTGCTAATATTCTTTAAAATTTAGTGTATTAATGAAATTCATATTGCATATCTGACAAAAAGGTAAGTTACCCAGGTGCTACAAAGGCGAAGGTAATAGACAAATAAATGACGACACGGCAACATTAGCCATGGACGGGCTGACATCAAGTGATCAGGAAATAGACGTGTCCCTCCTTCTGTACCACGACCCGTTCAAATGTATTAAACTTTTCTTATTATTTATTGTCCCTGTAACCCCGTTGCTATATATTATGGCTCGAAATTAGGAAAACTGAGTTTTCATGGACAGTCCAAAAGTATCCAGAAAGTCGCTAGAAAAAACAAAAAGCTCTAGATCTAGCTACAAAGTCGCTAAGTTGGCAACTCTGATATTCTACACTATATATATATATATATATATATATATATTATATATATATATATATATATATATATATATATATATATATATATATATATATATATATATATATATATATATATATATATATATATATATATATATATATATATATATATATATATATATATATATATATATATATATGCCCATAGTAAATTGAACAAGTACCTCAGTTTCCTCCTCAATTTCGTGTGCAGCAGTTTGTAACAGGGCCTGTAGTGTGTCGGCTGTGTACTGCCCGCTCGTAGAATCTAAAACAAGATATATTAAATTAGTGTTTTACACACCTTATTTACCAAAAAAACAAAAAAAAATACAATATGGGGTTTAAATTCTATAATTTTCCAACAAAAACAAGTCTTAAATTAGATAACGTACACAGTCCATCGTTTAGTCATACTAACGCACAATTAATTTTAAATATAGTGGTGTTTGGTGCCACAGTGCGGGGAATTACCATACTTAGCACAGTCTCCCACATGTACAGTTTAAGTGGTTCCGCTGTATAAGTATGTTTAAAGAGAAAATACTTTTCTATTCGAGGAAATTATTTTTTGCAAGCAATACCAGCTACAACAAAAAGTAGATATTATATTGAATAAGAAGTCTAAAAATTACACCACGAAGTCTAGGCAAAATGGCGAATGTTAAGAAATAATCACGAACACAACCGCTAACCCTCTTAACATATAATGCGCATGACAAATATAACACACTATTTATCTTATATTTGCTTTGATAGAGCTAAATTAACTTTGTTTGGCTCGTATTACCTTTAAACTAAAAATATATGCCGTATTGTAAATGAGTTCGGTGTAACTTATTGACATTAGTAATCTCGCTTCCCCCAACCCCAGCTGACACTTGTAAACAAGACGACGAGGAACGTTCTGGGTTCCTCGTGTAGCAACATTCTGGGCTTTACTGATTCACATAATGTCCCACGACGAGAACCACGAAATGGAAGACGAGGTTGAAACTAAGAGTAAGGAGAAGAAGGTGGCGAAGCACGACAGTGGAGCAGCAGATTTGGAGAGAGTCACAAATTATGCGGAGGAAAAGGAGATAAAGTCTGATGCAAATTTTATGTCTGTTATTAATGATGTAAAAAGGCAAGATGAAGCAAACAAGGTTCGTTCATTACACGTGTATTTTAAAATATTTATGGGGTAAATGTTTGAAACTGTTAAAAATAAAGAAAATCAACAAACAACTTCTAATGACAACAGTTTCATGGTCTTTATTTTTGCCATACTTATGATTTTGATGATTGTAACTATTAAAAGAAACGACAATTTTCTATTATAATTTTGGAAATGTTTACGAAACTTATCACCCGAAGGAAATGTGTGATTTGCTTTAAATTTTTTGTAGGAATTAATGGTTTCTGCCCAAGAAATTTGTAAATAATGATAAGAATTTTGCATTTTCATTTTACCTATTTTTTTTGGTCCTGAACACTTATCTATTTCCACATTCTGCCAATACCATTTTGTTTGTTTACCTAAAAAATTGCTTCCAGTGACCTCTTAAAGAAATAAACTTACAGCGGCCATTTCAAACACACATTTCCTACAAATCTTGTAATTTAAGCGACATAAACCAACCTAACCTGAATTAAATATCCACTGTATCATAGTTTACTGTTATCTCATATAAATTATAAAATGTAGTAGTTACGGACAGTGTTCGTTTGATGATAAAACATTTTTTCTGAACAATAGATCACGTGCCAAAAATGGTTTTGGCTGGATGTGGCAAATGGAAGTTCATTACTGTACAGTATTTGTGTAATATTAAAACTTGTTTACAAAGAACTATTCAAAATTGCACTTACCATTGACACATACACGTGACAAAAAACCACACCCAACTTGACTTACCCAAACCATACTTTATCACCCTGTACCAGCATAGCTAAAAAATTTTGTAACTATTCTTTCCAGTTGGCAAAGGAACAAGAGCTGGCCAAGGTTTCGATAAAAAAGGAAGATGTAGAGCTGATAATTAGGGAACTAGAGATTTCCAAGATGAAAGCTGAAAGAGCACTCAGGGAGCATCAGGGAAACCTAATTGAAACTCTAGTCACACTTACTAACTAAATTTCCAATACTCCTCCTGTACTGCTTACCAATCATTAAAAAATGTGGATGGATTTTTATGTTTTTGTTCCTTTATATAATAAGAGTGTCTCACTTACAAGGTGTCAACTGGCCAGACAAAAGGAAAATTCCCTGGCTTTTCCAGGTGTAAATATGAAGAATTCCTGGTACTATACATTAATTTGGTATTTATTATGACAATAACAAAATTAGAGGTTTTCAATAATATGTGTACTATACTATTGGGAAATTTAAAGATGATATAAATTATATTATTCAAGAAATTGAAGGCCCTTTCACGACCCACCCCAACCCTAGTGATGAAAATCGGCAAAGACCTTCACCCCCTCCCTCCATATTTTTCTCCTCGGATTTGTGCGATTCACGTGGGTCGACCTGGACGTTCCGAAAAAGCCGGAATCCAGCAAAAAAAAAAACGAAAATTCACACTATTGATCCCCCTTTATGACTCATGATTAATATGTGGATTATTATAATCCACTTAAAGTCACTTAATTATAAGAACAATTAATCTGACAATACTCAGTGCAGAATTAGTAGGTATAACCTGTAATATTTGGTTATTTGATCACTAACATGAAATATGACAGGTACACACACAATTCAGTTATTGGAGTGGACTATTTACTGAAATTTGCTCCTAAAGGTTGAATTATTTATCTATTATATAGTACTGTACATCATTAATTTATGGTAAGATTGCTGTCAGATAAAAATATTTTGAAATTGAACTGAATTCACATAAAATTCCAGGTTTATTTGTAAAAGTCCCTGGCTTTTCCAGGTTTTCCAGACTAGTAGACACTCTGATAGTGTATATTTTTAAGGAAAAGTATATAAAGGTGATTTAAAACTTACGGGCAAACCATAATGGGCTTTTAAAATATTATTAATTATTTCAAAGGTTATTAATTAACACTAATTACCCGAATTTTTAAATTGTGAACCCAGATCCTTAATCAGCATGTAAAGTATAGTACCTTTGTGTGAAAATAATTTTTTTTTTTTTTTTTTTTTTACTCCAAGTGCCAAAAACTAATGTATTAGGTCTGGCATCACCTCAATTTGGCGCTGCCTTTCTTGGGGACTGGGAACAGGCGTGACATGATACACTTCTCTCACTGCAACAGTTCTATCACACCTCTGTTTACAATTGAATTACAAATTCTGTGAGTAAGGGGGTTGGTTTTTGACCCCTTTTTAGGTAACACTAGGGGAGGGCGCCTCAACCAAGTCCATGTGAGGTCCCCTTTGATTGTCTTGTAAGCCCATATGGAAGAAGTTCACCTGATTTCTTAAACTTAAGTGATCCAGATCCAATTATGATCATCAAGAAAGGTTAGCTACCCCTAGAAAAATATGGTTGAAGTACTTCACGTTCCATTATGTTAAATACAATAAAGTATCTTACCACAATGACAACAAAACTAATAAATTAGACCCTGTACACTGTTGTTTCCTCCACCCAGGGAGAACACTGTACCTGAATTAATCAGTTAAGTTTGCCAACAAAAATGTAAAGAATCAGCAGGCAAATCCTACTCAAGCAAATTCAAAACAATGCTCCAAATGTTCATTAGAACAAGTAAATTAACTGATTTCATAATTCATTTATGGAAAGTCATGTTGCAAGAGACAACAAACAAACAAATCATGACCCAGCGAGAACAATTAAATACAGAAAATTGGGAATACTGTACTGTATGCCTCTAGTGCCCAGGGTGCATTACCTAGGATAAGAAGCTTAACTCTTCTCAATGACTGGTCCAGTCCAACATCACTGTGTTCATCCTTCAGGTCACACTTTCACTTAAATTCCTTTCTGAGCATTCAAAATATAATACAGGACCGTACTGTATTTTTTATTATCAATCTCAAAAACAGCCATTTTTGCCTCTGAGAGAAGAAATGCCATCTAATGCATTTATTTCCATCTCTAAAATTATCTTAATTTTTTTATCAAAGGTTTTACTGTAGGAAACCAAAAGAGCACCACAGAACAGATAATAAACACTATACGGGCACTATGATTACTTACCCATTTCTCCTTTCATTGTGTTAACCTCTTCAGTCAGCTGAGCAGCAGCTTCATATTTTGTGATCAAATTTTGCTTAGCCTTAAAAGAGAAAAAAAATACAATACATTAAATAGAAATTTAATACTACAGTATAGTTATCTATACATTAGTAGTACACATTACCCATACTCAAATTTGACAGCTTCTTTTAGGCATAAAACATAACTGGTATTTTACAATGAATAAAGACTGGTTATGGAAATTTGAAAGTCTTATGGAACTACAGGTACTATAATGGTCCTAAAACAATCCCACTTTCCGAGATGATTACCTTGTTGCTGATAAAAAGAGTTTAAAGGTAAATTATGAAAATTAAGCCCAAACATTTGATGTGTGTGTGTGATAATGCTGCCACCATGCCATCACCAGAGAAGTTATGGCTTGTATGAAATTAGCACATACAGTACATACCAGGTACAGCACGTAATTTGAGAGAAGCAGAGACGGCAACATTATTATATGCTTGAGCTGATGAATATGGTGTAAGGTTACAAGATTAATTACCTGTGACAATTTAGGTTCCAATGACAAGTTGAACTCAGCCAAGGACTTGTTAGCAGCAAGTAACATTTCCTGCTCACTTGCAATATTCTTCATCTGTAGAACATAAAACATAATCAGATACATTCTTCACTCAAACAATAGCTCTAAATCGACTTACTGACTCGTAAATTTAAAGTTTCATTAATTGGCTAATGGGAAAGTAATTTGGGTATAGGAAAAAATAATCATTAGCAGAATGGCTAAACCACAAAATTTGTATTAGTACTGTAATGGTTATGAACCAATTTAATAATTTTTCAGTTAGTAAACAAACTCTGGCTCATAATTAGCCAGATAAACACTGGACCACCTGACTAAGACGATTCAGTCAGCCACTGACTAGTATTAAAGTACAGTACAGTACCTAAATGCTGCAGTTCTCTTTTGCATACAATAAATACCATTTAGAAAGGAAGAACACAGTGACCTAGAATGGAATACAATAAACAGTAGACAATTACATGCCTGTGGTAAGTCTTGCAGAAGTTCAGCGAGCTTGTCATCATTGTTGACAAGATCACGAAGTTCCTCAGTTGGGAGGTGTTTGATGATCCTGAGAGCAGCTCCATAGTCTGGTTCAGCTGACATCATTCCTGGAAAGATATAATAAATTACTGTAATGTGGCCTACTTCATGCAAGTGAAAGATTATGAAAATTTGGGTAAAGCTAAGATAGTGCATCAGGTTCTATGGATACTGCAAAAAACAGTAACTGCTTGTCACTCAGTGCACCATAGCTGTGTTACTATAGTAAACCCTCAAAGTAATGGGTATTCCCAATAATAAATAAATTTTTGTCCAATATGATCACTGGACCAAACCAGTAAAATACTGTACTGAAAGTTAATGTGAGCATTTGTCCACCATTGACCACATATGATCACATGGTGCATAAATCATCTGTAGTGAGCAGGGCAAAACCTGATCAAATGACAGTCATTTTATGTCTTTACATGCTTTGTACGTATAGAAATTAATTATTTACCGTAAATATTCTGCAAATAATTCTCCCATGGCACAGAATGTTTTCATTCGTTGTTAAACTAAAGACTTTTGAATCTGGTCTTTCTTAACTTTAAAATAAACGACGGAGCATCCCATCAGGGGTTTTATCACCATATACACTGGCTTGGTAGTCTTTTGTTTTCACTGTTGTTGGTTTCACTTTCCTGATTCTCATGTTTACAGGTTGAGCAAATCGCCTTTTATTTATCTTTACACAAGAGGTTCTTGAACCTATTCTACAGTACTAGACTGTAGTTGGATTCGAATCCCATATTATGAGTTTGGATACATTTCCAATTTCTTTTGAGTAGCATTGGAGTCTAAGTGAACTGTATGTTTGTATAGTTATTATTTTTCCTTAATTAAAGACTGAAGGAGAAGAATAAGATAGCAATCCTGTTTTTCAATGGTACTGTTATTGTTGGAGCACAAATGACAACCAACTTCCACCACAGCCATTGTGAGACTGGTCAACAAAATTACCCAGGCTTCTTCCTTTGAAAAAAAAAATCAAATGTGATCGGTCGAAAAAAATTCACGTGATGATATACAGTAGATACATCATTGGTCACGACTGGATGACGTCAGTCAATATTGCACATGCATGAGGAGCATATAACATCGCCTCAGGGCAACACTTGTGACTGAGCACATTTAACAATATTGAAAAATTAATCTCGGTTATCCTTAATTTCCGGCTGAAATATAATAGAAGAATAAGGTCTTAGAATTATCTAAACATTACAAAAAACATATTAATAATAGTGAGAGAGAGACCGGTGCATTAAGAAAAATTCACCAAATTTTGTTGGTTAGTCAGGTTCTGTGCATTGCCGTTTCTATTTCCGTGTTTAATATCATGTAAATAGTATCTCCAGAAATTTTGGTGCAATTCCAAAAACTACTGGTGCTAACTGTGTTCTTCACCTTTACTAAAATTTCCAAAAGTTGCTCCTTCTCACAAGTTGATGTCCCGAACTAAAAAAATGTCCCAAAGTTATTCCTTCTCATAAATTGGTATCCCAGACGATTACCAAAAGTTCCTACCATTCTCTATAAATTATACTATTACTAATATAGATGAGGAAAAAATAAATGTTCTAGAGGGGGTAAATAAGTCTGGATCGCTATTGTTTGTCGTTCACATATAAAATATTCTAGCTTCCTCGAGAAAAAAATAAGTAAATGAATATACTTTTAATAATGACAAACACCTGCAGGAGTACTCACCACTAGTAATATACACTGACTCTCCCTCAGACACTCAGCTATGACAGTACATAGGCTGGTCTAGTGGTAGGTGTCTAATGTTTATATATCACCACGAACACTAGTCATAGCCCAGGAAACACAAATTCATTAGGTGGTTTTTTTTTTATCACAAACTTAGCTAAAATTATTCTAAAGTTATCTAGAAACGTTTATTTGTAATCGAATTGTTTTCTTAGGTAAAGATTATGGCTGAGAATATTTTTTTAACATTGATTATTTAACTTATCGTTCGGGTTTCTCCAACAACTCAACCTTTGATATCCGGATTATCATAAATTCTTGGAAGTAATTTCACTTCATTACTGAGAATAATAGTTATAGGTGAACTGAACTGAACTAGATACGTTCTTAGCTCCAGTTAGGAAGAAATATTAAAGTAATATACAAGTCTAGCCTCAAATAAGGACCTTTATGAATCACAAATAAAACGTACAAATCTCGAATGTCTAAGTAGGACATGAATATATAGCAAGTTTAATTATTTACTTGTTTAGGTACATATATCAACCAAGGTGAACCAGTGGTCTTATTAAAAATTTGGACTGTGTTCCAAATTGTTGAAACTTGCATTAAAGATAGTTTTTCGTGCTGATTTTAAATGTGAAACTTATGTTTTGCGGAAATGTTTTATTATGACTTACAGGTCTATGAATCAGAAGTTAGGTTAGGTTGGGTTTCTGATGGAGACCTCTTCATTACACTCTCCTGAATCTTCTGTCAATACATTTTATTTGCATATCGTGGCATTTTTGGCCATTGCTTATCTTTGGGCATAATCCCACACTTTGCATTTTGTGCAAGGCACCAGTTTCGCTTAACTTTTACTTACTTTTATCCTCTTCACCACTGATCGGCTCGTTAGCTGCTTGGGCGATCGGTCACGTCTCTGATTACTTTCCTTTTATTTTATCCTCTTCACCAAAAGATCCGCTCATTAACCACTTGGGCGATCGGTCACGTCTCTGTTACTCACTGTTGGCAAGTACTGGGCATGCACCGGCTCCTGAATGTACCTGAACCTGCTCCAGTGGTCAAGTCTGGTCTTGAAAGAGCTCACACTCGGTGCCGTCACAACACTTTCTGGTAGATTGTTCCAAGAGTTCACAACTCTCACTCCGAAAAAGTTTGCCCTCACATTTTTCTGGACTTGTGGTTTCTTCAATCTTGAGCTGTGACCCCTTGTGGGGCGAGCGTCCGCCAGCTCCAAGTAAGGACACTCAACTGAGTAGTGCCCTTTGAGATGCTCATACACCTCAATTAGGTCACCCCTTGCCCATCTGTAGTATAAGCTAGGCAAGTTCAGGCACTCCAATCTCTCAGGGTAGCTGAGGTGCCAAAGGGCAGGCACCAGTCTGGTGGCCCTCCTTTGAACATTTTCGACCAACTGACAGTTCCTAGCATATCTCAGGGACCAGATGGGGTGACAGTACTCCAGATGGGGAAGCACTTCACTCTTGAAGATCGTTACAAGGGACGGACCGTCTAGATATCTGAACGACTTTCTTATAAGACCCAATAATTTATTTGCCTGATTTACCTTCTCCTTGCAATGGCCCGAGAACTTCAGCTCATTGTCAACATACACACCTAGGTCCTTCTCACATTCAGTCTCAAATAGTGCAGTTTCTTCATCCTGTTGGGCCATATGATACGCCTCCTTACTGTTGGTACGCCCCAGGTGTATCCTCTTACACTTCGTGACATTGAATCTCAGCAGCCATTTCTTCGACCATTCTTGGATCCCACAGAGGTCCTTCTGATGCACTTCACAGTCTGCTTGGTTCTTGATTTCCCGAAATAACTTGGCGTCATCGGCAAACATTTGTATGGAGGAGTGTACAATGTCAGGCATGTCATTCATGAAACAAACAAACAACACGGGCCCAATACACTGCCCTGTGGTACCCCGCTTGTGACAAGTACGGATGATGATTTTGTGCCATTAATCACCACACATTGCTTGTGGTCATGTAGAAAGTCTTCTATCCACGCGAGGACATTTCCCCGAATTCCGTACCCTTCCAGTTTGATTTTCAGCCTTTTGTGGGGTACACTGTTGAAAGCCTTGGCAAAATCTAGGTAAATATTGTCGATATTACCACCCAGTTCCAGAATATGGGTCCAAATATCCAATACCTTGAGCAATTGTGTTAAGCAGGAGTGCCCCGGCATAAAACTGTGTTGGCAATCCTTTACAAGGTTGTTTCGTAGTAGATGTTCCATTGCGGCATCTCTGATAATACTTTCAAGTACTTTACATATTATGCTGGTCAGGCTCACCGGTGTATAGTTGTTCGTGGAGTGACGATCGCCCTTCTTGAAGATAGGACTCACATAAGCCACTTTCCATTCACTGGGGACCTTTTGTTCATCCAAGCATTTACAAAACAGGATCTTCAGGGGCTCGGCAAGCTTGTTGCTCAACTCTCTTAGCACTCTAGGATGCACCATATCAAGGCCGGGACTCTTATGCACCTTTAGCTTTGACAGTTTATTTCTAATACCCTCTTCTGTGAACACAATGTGGGTCATTGCTGTGTCGAAGCGTCTGTCCTCAAACGCAGGAAGGTTAATCGCATCCTCTCTTGTGAACACCGAGGAAAAGAAGCTGTTCAATGCCTCAGCTTTATCCTGGTCAGAATCTGCATAGCTACCATCTTCAAGCCTCGGGTCTGATACTCCTACTTGCGTTTTTAATTTCGACTTTGCATAGCGGTAAAATGCCTTTGGGTTTGACTTGACCTCACTCATTTTCATTCAACAGCAAAAACAGACACAGTTCCTGCAAACAAACACCAATAAAATGTTAAATATTTATTTCCGAAAAAAAAAACGAGTAGCATCAGCATAAAACTCTGTACTAGTGACAAATTTTTCTACAAAATTTAACACAGTCGAAATTTTTAATAAGTTCCAATCCAGTACTCTGTTGACTCTATTTTCACTGCTATGTTTTTTTTAGTTGAAGGATAATTAGAAAGTGTTCAATAGGCAAACCAACATTGAGTTCCATATATGCTGGTATAAGCTAGAAAATTGCAGTTTGTATAATCTCTCTTGATACCCTGGTATGCAGGCACCTGTTTGGTGGCCTACTTTTGAACTTATTTATTCAATTACTGTACCTACTGCAGGGGTGGATCCAGGAATATCAAAATGAGGGTCCAAGAAGTTTTGGGTAGGGGAACATGGTGAGCAAAGCGAGCCCACCCAGCTTTTTTGGGGGTGGGGACGTGTTGTCTTAAACCTTAAGCTGTGACCCCTAGTGAGGTGGGCATCTGCCATCTCCTCTAAACTCTTATGGACTTCTTCATCTAGAAAGTGATGTTTTGTGATTATCACTTTCACGTTAAAACAATATATACTTGTAGTCCCTGCAACCAACAGCCAAACACCATAAAAAAAATAACTGTACATATATACAGTACAGTATACAGTATATATACATGGGCACTGTACTGTACACCCGAATAATAATAATAATAATGAAAAATCAATATTCCATTAGAATAACAAACAAATATAAATCAAATGTGTAGAATTTATTGAAATGAGTACATTATGTGGTACATTTTGCAATTCCTTCAATTTTTAATTACAAAACACTGGATCCAATCAATGTTATGTACGCTTACTGAAATCAGTATAGCAGATTACATTTATTTGTTATAAACTGATTTTTTCATGAATCAAAGCACTTGCAACTGTGATATAGTATTTTGATATTTTATTATGGTACAGGGGGTGTATTGTACTTTGTTAGCAGCTTTCTCTAAAGGTTGTGCATCAATCATTTGGCACAGATAGGATAAAGATTGTCAACAAATAATGAAAGTAATACAGTACTATGCAGTATGATTTCATTTATGCACAATGAAATTATATGCTACATGAAATTTAACTGACGATTGTGATGAATAACATGAGGGTATCATCTTTGACCCTACAAGACATTGGCACTAGCAAATAATTCATTTAGGCCTATAAGGCATAAAGATAATTTCTTATGTACAGTACTGTGCTGTACATGATAGGGAAACTATACAAAGTTACAACTTCCAATCAAAATATATACCTTGACATCCTGTCAGCATCAAAAGTCTGTTTGAATTTTCTATGAAATTTTTAATATTCCAATATTTTGAAAAGGTGTCTAGGGACTCACATATTACATTTTTATTAGCCTTCACTGCAGGATGTATCTACCAGACTAGAGATCCATAATTACATAAATTATTTTCACGTACAAATACTCATCCTACAACATTCTTGAAGCATTAGTTTAAGCTCATTAGCTAAATTATGACAGAATACTGGAAATGTAAATTAAAATATACTGGCCACACCCATCGAATCTCACAAATAAATTAAGAAAGAACTAAAAATAGGTTCACTGGATATGAAAACTCCATTCATTAACTTGATATAAAACTAAAATAAAATTTGACCATAGATAAAAACTCTAACTTTGGTTTTCGATATTTGTATAGGTACTAATACGTCTAATATTTGGTACTAATACGTCTAATATTACCATACTGCCCTGAAAACCCTTGCAATGGACTACAGTTAATGCAAACTGAAAAATCCTAATATTTTTTCATTCTTATATGCCCAGTACACTACTGCCACAGTGCAGCTGGATATCATTAACAACAGTGGAGATACCTTTTAATTCACTCTCATTCACTGCCTTACCAGACATTCTGTTATGATCTTCACCTTCCAAAATACTGTACTAGTGAATATCATAAGGAAGTACTGTACAGTACAGTAGTTTGTAATATGAGTGAAATTCATTGTACACTGATACTTTTATCAAATTTGTGAACATTGCAATGTATATTACTCTTTGAATACAGGTACATTAGTGAATATTGGCATCAGTATGTGAGCATTACAGATTTGGAAGTATAGAACCATTCTGTAAACTACATCACAAGAAAAAATTATTCAATACCGAGGTAAATTCTTATTTGTTATTTTAAGACCACTCACTCAAAATACTGTATTAAGGAATTAAGATGCTTTATGAATTATTAAAAAAATTTTCAGCTAATATTGTACAGACTGTACAGTAAAACGTAAGTTGAAATTTCTTCAAGGTGCATTCTTTTGAGTTGCAGATTAGAGAAAGGAGCAAAGCTAGTGTTGGGAGTTATGTGAAATTTTGCTTGCATTTAACTTGGTTTGCATACTGCTTCCTCTTGATTAGAGAATATGAACTAGTTTTAGAATGGATTTTCCCTTGGTCTTAGTAGTTATGGTGAATATAATACTGTATTGTTCTGTACACTACAGTCACAGACACTAGAATATGCTGCTGAGGTTCTGTGTAGTGTATGGTGTCTTACAAAAAATAAGCAACACTTAGATGATGACTACTACTGGTAATATTACTCATTACCTATTTAGAGACTCATTCTCATATCAACTTAATACACACCGTCAGAGCTGAAGGTTTTTGATGGAGAGAAATGATGCATTGTCCTGGAAATCCCATTTTATAGCACAGCAGTCAGGACTGGTGACTCATGTACTGAACCCATTCATGTACAGTTTGGAACTGAGTTAACCACTGACACTTGTACTAATCAAACACTTAAAAAAAAAAATTACATCTAGAGGCCATGAGAAGGGAACTTTCGATGCAAGTTACCACTGATGGTTGAAGGATGATGAGTCTTGATGCCACAGTAGCAAGCACAACCTCTCCTTCTATTTCATTGTCAGCCATATTGGATTTCCAGGACAAAGCATCATTCCATCCAAACTTCATAACAGACCCATTGGGTGGGAGGGAAACTGAATTTTATTGTTCTGATTTATAAATGGAATTTTCAGAATCAATTCATCATTTATCACCTCGTGTTGGTCCTACAAGTCTCATTCATTAGAAAAGTTGGCTAAAAAAAGGAAAGAGGCCAAACAGCACTGCACAAAGGTTGCTGCTGAGGACCTGGTACATCTCTGTAGTTTGGTTATGAGAGTCACACCTCTCAGAAATATGAAAATATGCAGTGCTCAATATTATCAGCTTATGGTGTGTTAGTCTTATTACATGAATGCAGGTACTAAACTTTAATGATCACACACTAAATATCTGGATAGTCTGTTGGGGTATTTCATTTATATACCTGATATATATTTCTCAACATGCATGCATTTTCTACACAGGTTCAATTAACATTCATATATAGCTGCTCCTCGACTTACGAAGGGGGTTAGGGACCCAAATCCAAGTCGTAAGTCGAAAATGCTTAAATAATAAATAGGAAATCTAAAATGGGTGTCTCTTTTTTTTCTCAGTACCACAAAATTCTCACTTTTAAGCTTGCCAGCCATTTTAAAATAAATTACAAACGAAAATTTTGTCAGTACACAGCCCAATCACTAACGTTGGGACTCGAAAATACGTAATTTGACAAAATTTTGGTACGACTGAGGCGGTCGTATGTCCGGGCGGTCATAGGTCGAGTATGTCGTAAGTTGAGGAGTAGCTGTATTCATATACAGTACAGTATATAGAATTTAAAAAAATAATTTTTTAACCCTTTAATGAGTAGTGTCGCACCTTTGGTTTATTCAGCTGAGAGAAACCCCACCACTCCACGAGTGAAATATTTAAATACATTAATTCACTATTCACATCTTCACACTATATATGCACTCACCATAACCTTTTATTCACACCAGTATTCATATACTCCTACTATCAGAAGAATAACAAGTAATAAAGGTACCCTGTAGTGGCACACTTTCCATATTATTTAGTACAGTAAACTTAAAATAGAACCTAAACCAGTTATTCTAATCACCAATAGGTTGTCAAAGGTCAACTATCTTTTGCTAAATAATAACTGATTATGTATCAAACTGATTCAATGAAAACCTTTCAAAAGGTACTCTTACATACTAATGTATTAATATGAAGCTCCTCTGTATTTGCAATTTAAGAAATATTTAAACATAGTTATGAAATATACTGTAGTGTGGTACACACTACATGGTGGTATCCTAACCCCACAACTAATGAGCAGCTGCTCATTGATCAGCACAGCTGTTGAAGAGTGAGGTGAAGTGTATTGGTAGCTTCACTGTCCAAGCAAGATGAAGGTACTGGGTTTACTCCCCGAGCAGTCAAATTTATGCGTTTCTCTCACATGCCACAATAATGTCCTATACTGGACACCACTGTGATCACTGGGAGAGAAATGGAAGATTATAATCCATCTGAGAACTAACTCAGGATTTCAATCTTCCTGGGACAGTGCTCATTATTACATAGTATCCTCCTGCAATGATCTTCACCAAACTACATCACAACCAGACAAAATCAAATCAGTTTTTTTATTTGTTATGGATTACTGTACATTACAGACTGACTCTGATTTACAAAGAGGTTAAGCTCCTGAAAAAACTCGTAAATCGATTTTTGGTAAATTGATGCCCATTTTCCTATAGACTCTACCTATAAAAGCTGAGATACTTTCCTAAGAAGGAAAGGGGAAGAGGGGAGGGGAAGTACCGGGTAGAGTGCCACAAAATGCATTTTTAATAAAAAAATTTGGTGTACAGTACTGTACACAATCATTACAAGACAATAATAAACAAATTAAGTGAAATACCTGCAGTTCAGTACAGTTATAATTTTATATCTTCTTAAAAGAGAAACCTGGCTCAGCCATCTTAATAATGTTATTATTATCCACTCTGTTTCTGTATTTTTCTGACTAAATAAAATGTTTCAATTCAATTCAATTCAATCCGAAGTGAACAGATGAAATGCTGAGATAACATAATAAAATTACCATAGCAATACTGTACTGTACATTGACTCCTGTTATATACAGTAATTGGAGATATATTCTCCTTAGGGGGAGAGGGGGGATGACAACAACAACAACAACACACACACACACACGCTCAACACAAGAATATTGATACATTGACTGATGTGCTTTGTTTACATGGCACAAACACTGTGGTTGCAGAAGCCTTGATTTATATGAGTAATTATGATGGTACAAGCACCAGGGCAGGTGTGATCTGTACTCTTCGTTTAATAATAATTTAACTTGCTTTCATGATGTCCTCAAATAACAGTGCTAAAGTGGAATGTAAAGTTCCGAGTTAAAAAATAAATAAAAGTGGAAATTCTGTGTAAATTGAATCGATGACAATCTGTGAGGAACTGAAAATTCCACTGCAACATGATATTACCGTGGGTTGGCTTAAAATGTTTAAAGTCACTTAATAAAATTTGTCCGAGCACAAAGCCATCAGCCTGTGTCTCATCTACCTTCCTTTGTGCCTTGCTGGCAGTATCCACACTTCCAAATTCCACACTTTCTCTTACACCTCTACACCTTAATTAGCATATGGAAATTGAGAAAACAGAATAACTTTCTTTTATTAAGTTCCACATATTATATGAGAGTAAATGAAGAGAAGTTTGACAAGCAGGCAACTGGCTCAGTGATAGAGTGAGGTGGTGTAAGTGATAAGTCTACTTGTCTTCACAAGGGTGAAGAATACTGTACATTATTTAGTGACTAAGAGAATGATGCCATGTCAAAAGCTTATTTATAGACTTAAAAATTTGGGAATGGATGAGAATAATTAAAAATAACTGCATTATTTCAGCATATTTTCAATTACTAATGATTTTTTCTTGTAAATTTGAGTTTTTCACTCATAAATCAAAGGGCAATTTTTTTTTAACAGCGAATTTTTAAAAATCAAATCCTTGTAAATTGGGGTCTGCCTGGATTACAATACCTACCATAGAGCTTCAAATATATACTGTACTGTACTTATGACATCATTATGTTTCTTATTCAAATCGAGAAAAAACACAAAACACCAGGTACTGTTCTGTATATCCAAAGTGAGATGAATATTTTTGAAAATAAAAATGAATACAGTTTACCTGTCAATGCAATATGATTATGGCACAATCTGCAACCAATATCTTGCAAATTAATCTATGCTGACACAATAGAAACTTTAATGAAAATATAGGGTTAGGCTACCATGTTCAATTACTGTACAGTATTCAAAACATTCACTCATGAGTTTGTCTGTGGAGTTTCTAAAATATAACTCACATTTTATTCATAAAACAAAAACTATTTATTTGTTTGATAGAGTGAAAAATAGTGTCCTTGTTTTTTAATGAGCTGATCATGTGTGCCAGCCTCCACCACACAGCCACCCTGCACCACGGCAATAGTGTCAGCATTCTGGATAGTGGACAGGCGGTGGGCGATGACAATGCTAGTGCGACCCTCCTGTGCACGTTCTAAGGCCTCTTGCACCACCTGAGGATAAGTATCACTATCAATGTACTGGCAGTGGCTGAAATAACTAGGGAAAGTCCTGTACAGTATATGACTACCAGTATCCTGTAGTGTAGTCTTAAGAGAGGGTGACATACATATTATCGTACTATTGATAAATATCTTAAAACTTCTGTAAGCTATAAAGGAAGTTGTTCCTACACGATTTTATTGTTGCTAGAACTCCATGTACTGTATATATCATAATCTAAAAACAATACTTCATGCATAATAATGGTAAGACACTGCAGAATCTTTTGAAAATATTAAATGTGGTAATTTTACTTTCTCTACTTCTAAAATATATCTCTGGATTAATTTCAGTATCTGTCTATCCTTCCTTCCTTCCTGCTGCAGTGAAGTTTTTGTCCATTATGTTCATTTAGATGTTCTTCTCCAGTATGGTCTGTTCATTGCAACATTAATTCTTTCTTAATGGCTGATGACTTATCTCCTAGTAACTGTGCGATCAATTCTCTCCATCTCATTGTGTAAGTTTTAGAGTCTGGCCTTTACCCTTTTATCTGCTGGCTGGTCTTTTTTTTGTACTGTACATGTCCCCCTTGACCTGCTGGCCAATATACAGTATCAAGTTCTCTGCAAAACCTAAGAATTTTCCCCTCTAAGAGCTTTTTTTTCAAATGGTCTGCAGTTTGACCTTATTCTTATTACATATATCTGAAAATTGTCCCTCTTCTGGTTTTAAAATAAAGAATAAAGACTAATGGTATACATTTTCAGTTCTATTTTTTGTTTCAGTTACACACACACTATTAAGTACTGTAACACTACGTAGGGTATTCACTTTCATTGAACTAGTATACCGTACTTTAAACCACCAATAATTTTAATTTAAATCATGTAAATTTCAATATTCAACATGTATGAACATTACCTTTTCACTTTCAGTATCCAGAGCAGAGGTAGCTTCATCAAGCAACAACACACTGGGATTCCTCACTAATGCTCGGGCAATGGCTATACGCTGCTTCTGACCACCAGACAACTGGGTTCCTTTGGCACCAACTCGTGTCTCATAGCCCTGAAATGTTTATTAACATACAGTACGTATCATTTAAATTTGTTATATTCTATACATATGCCTTTATACAGAAAGATGGTTCATATAGAACTTCTTGGCTATGTGAGGCTTTGCAGAATTATCAAAATCCTCTACAATTACATCAATACTATCACACTAAATCATTCACTCTCTGCTTGCTTTTTGGTTTGGTCACATCCTACTTTATTCATATATCTAGTTCTCTTTGGTGAGGAAATTTAATGTGTTGTGGTAGGCCAAGGGAGGGTTACACCTCACACCTTCCTAAGTCACTGAGACACTAGGCCATGATATAATGACAGTTTAAAAAGCTTTTCTTACTGTCCATTCAAGAGAAAATTTTTAAATCAATATGTGGCACAGCCCAGACACATATGAAGCCACTTTTGGCAGACTGGGTGAGATATGATAAAACACCTAGTACTGTATTTCTGCTTTTATGAGAGTTTCCAAGAAACCAAAATGTATGTCACTATTACTGTAATTCTAATCCAAACTTCATATCTTTAAATATACTACTTCCATATCTCACCCAAAAAATATTTTGTCATTCAATTATTAACATGACTACACTAAGTCGATGCTGCTATCACACAAAGTTTTTCATAAAATATTAAATTAAATCTGTTTTTTTTTAAGACCACAGTTATTTGTTATCAACGGCACACACCAAAATTTCACTAACAACTCTACTGGTTAAGACCCATGTTCTGCTTGTATTAACTTTAAGCAAGTTACACCATACATTGTAGCAAATAGTGCTTCAACTGGGGTGTCACCAATTTTCTTTGTCCATCACTCTCATCAATATCACTGCTGTTTACAAAGTCATATGATTACTGTATAATGTATATGGTATCCACTCAGCATTCTACAGAAGTAAGGCTTGGTTCAGTGCCAAATAATGCAGGGAGTTAGCGAGCTGGTGGTACCCATTGTTTCAAGCTGCTCAAAAAACTTACTGGTGCTTCATATGAGAAAATCTGTCAGTATGTATTAACTTGATATTGCATGAAATATTACATATAAGAAAGTTACTAACATCTGGGAGACTCTCAACAAAGTCATGAATGTTGGCTTGTTTGGCAGCACTAATGATCTCATCATGTTTCACTTCCCGGCAGTTATCACCATAAGCAATATTCTCAGCAATGGTGCGATCAAACAGCACAGGTTCTTGGGACACAAGACCAAGCTGGTTCCTCACCCAGCCAACATTCAGGGACTGGATATCCTTACCACAGATGCGCTAAATTAGAAAGATAAACAGAAAATATAAGAGTCTTTGTTTAAAAAAGGGAGATTATGAAAACCCATAACTTAAGTGTTAATAAAATACATGAACATTTTTAATGGTAAATAATACTGTATGCTTATTCGAAAATAAATTCATCTACTTAATTTATACAGAAATTAATAAAAAAAAATGCTCAGAACTGAAAACTCATGATGAAGGCATTATCCAGTACAGTAACTCTCATTGTCAATGTAACTCAGAACTGTTAGGCAAGCCTATTTCTTGAAATCATGACTGTAAGGTAACATACCACTTCTCCTCTGGATGAATCATAAAACCTCTCCAATAGACCAACAATTGTAGACTTGCCACACCCTGAACTGCCCACTAGAGCCAGAGTTTGTCCTCGGTCTATCCTAACACCTAATCCTGTCAATACAGGGATGTCAGGTCTTGTTGGGTAAGAGAAGTGCACACCATAGAGCTCGATGTTTGTAACAGGACCACTCTGCGAATGCCAAAGAAATTTTTATTTTAGTTTGCATGATGCTTCCAAAATGATGCTAATTTCCAATATTTAAGCAAATATTACTTTTAAAGAGTTAAAGAAAAAAATTTCAGCTGGCAAATTGAAATAAAATTGAGAAAATATCTCAATATGTAACACATGGGCTACAGTATATTACTTGGTGTTCATTTAAACAAAGATGTAACTACCAAAGTACACTGTTATTTTGGACTTTTTCTTTTCATATAATTAAATCCTATTTTCTTGTTAGCATTAAATTAACATTTTATTACACTCAAGAAATGTGGTACTCACAAGGCGCAGTCCAACTCCTGGAGAAGTTTCAATGGCAGGGCGGCGCTCAAGTATATTAAATATATGAGAAGCTGCAATCTTTGCTTTGCTGTAGTTAGGGGCAAATGCTACTGCCTGACCCACCATCATTGTGCCGAGAATGAGCGCCTCTGCTATTCTGTGAAAAGTTCAGACAAAACACTTTAATTACATTTCAACTATATTTTTAAGAAAATATATATAAATGTGATTTAAAACTTACGGGCACAGTGTAATAGACTTTTTAAACATAGCTACTCCCTGACTTAAGACGGGGTTAGGGACCCAAATCCAGGTCGTAAGTCGAAAATGCTTAAATAATACATATAAAATTTAAAATGGGTGTCTTTTTCTTCTCAGCACCACAAAACTCTCACTTTTAAGCTTGCCAGCCATTCTAAAGTGAGTTACAAACGAAAATTTTGTCAGTACACAGCTCAATCACTGACGTTGGGACTCGAAAATACGTAATTTGACAAAATTCTGGTATGACTGAGGCGGTCGTATGTCCGGGTGGTCGTAAGTCGGGGAGGAGCTGTACTGTATTCTAAATATCTTTAATTATTTCAAAGGTCATTAATTAACACTACTGTAGTAACAAAATTGTTGGACTGTGAACCCAGATCCTCAAATAACATGTAAAGTAGTAGTACAGTACAGTACTTTTGTATGAAATTTTAACAAAATCCATGGTATGACTCCAAATGCCAAAACTCAAGGTATTAGGTAAGGCATATTGTTTACGCCGAACGGCACTTTTTGTAAAGTGAAAACTAACATGTTAACGGTAACGTGTTATATAGTAAGATAGTGTAATTAGTGTTAATTAATGACCTTTGAATTAATTAAAAATATTTAGAATATTTAAAAAGTCAATTATGCTGTGGCTATAAGTTTTAAATCACCTTTATAAACATTTTCTTAAAAATATAGACTAAATTTACTGTATAAACAAGTTAGTTTTCACCTAAATATATATTCTATATATATATATATATATATATATATATATATATATATATATATATATATATATATATATATATATATATATATATATATATATATATATATATATATATATATATATATATATACTACTATATTTTTTAAAACTTACTTGAAAACACTGGCATAGTCAATTTCGTTATTGTCAACTAAATATCCACCATACAACATGATCACAGCATAGGCAAAGAAAGGTATTGCTTGAGCAAATCCAAAAGCAGCTCCTGAAAAAGATAACAAAGGTAAATATAAGTCCCAACAACCTGTGATATTCTCACTGTTACTAAACTTAACTTCTGTATATTTTCACATTGACATTATAATAAGCACACCAAATTTAATTTTTGGCACATGAAAAGTCCAATACAACTTACTTGTCTACCCAAAAAGTATTTAATGTATTTATCTTTGACTTGAGGGTGTACTCCATCAGTATACATACCTCGGAGGTGAGATTTCCTCAGAGCCGACTGGTGGGGTTTGTATAATGCAGCTGAGTACTGATCAGCAAAATGTACTTCCTTGTGCAGACTTGCAACTGTTCGAATGTTTGTGATTGATTCAATTGCTATCTGGAAATCAAATAAAGATGGAGCACATCCTATACATTTAATCTAACAAAAACTTATTTTACAGTTACTTAGAACAGCCAGGAGGCAAAATAATATAAATGTCTATAAAAGAAAGAGCATTAAATGAAACGTTTTTTGACAAATTACCATAAATTTTCCAACAACTAAGCTGATTAGAGAAATTATTTACTTGATTTCCATCTAATGTGCCAGTAAGCTGATGGGTGGTTAAGAGGGTAAGAGGCATATACGTTTTCTAACTACAGGGTACTGTACTTAAGCTTACCTGAAAATAAGAGAAAACTCTAAAGACAATTAAATTCTTGTTTACCTTTTTTATTATTCAATATAGTGTACAGGAAATGAATTAAAAAATATGGAGCAACTACAGCTACCGGGTATCTCTCGGTATAAATAGTCTACACAGTCTCTTGCAGTTTCTCCTGTCAGATTCCTAACTCTAAAGTCCTTTCTTACAACCTCTCCCCATGTCATTCTTGGCCTACACCTGGCTCCCCTGTGCTCCATATTTAGGCTCATGCACTTCTTGACCCCGCTTAACGGTAGTTTCCTTCATTCTCTCCTTATGCCCACAAGTATGTATGGTACCCCAAAATTCTAAGAGTTAATTTAGTACCGGGTATATTTCAGGGGGAGAGGGGAGTGTCCATAGGAATGCATATACTATTGTACTGTAATAGAAGTTAATGGGAAATTAAGTTTTGAGTTATTGACAACTTTTAGAGGAACTTAACCCTTCTGTAACTCGAGGTATGTCTATTTGTAGTTAAAATATGGTACATCATCTATGAAACTTCATTGCCTAAAAAGCTTTGGATATATTATCTATGCCAAATTGTTCTGAATGTGTGTGTGGATAGGTGTAACCCACAACCTACTCAGAGACGTGACCGACTGCTCAAGCGGTTGATCGGCTCGATCAGTGGCAAAAAATTGATAAAAGTCAATGTAGATCCACACTTTGGTCCATGCTAACCTGTACATACAATTTGTCTCTGTTTCTACAAACTGGCAAATATGCAATTTTTAGTTTTGAGGAAATCACCCTTGAAGATTATATCTGTCTACGTACACTATATACCTGCATTGTTTATGTACATAGTATATCTGGATTGTTTTTATACATGATGAGCCAATGTAAACTTACATGGCAATTTTTAATATCTATCTAACTATGAGCTTGTACTGGTACTTGTCAACTGTGTTAAATGCAAAAGTTATTGGCTGTCTGACCAACTTGTATGATACGTATATACGAGTTGAGGAGATAAAGTGTAAAAGGTAAGCTAAAAGCTTCATGTACAATCAATGTTCTCTGTTAAGGTGAAAACTTATACTGTGCATTTACAGATCTTATAAAAATATAACACACAAACAGAATGATTTTCATGTTAAATATTTATATCAACAATCTGCAGAGGAATCCATGAAAACTGGTCTTGTCAAATACATTTCTCACCTTGCCTGCCTCCTGTAGAGTCTTCAGTTCGGTGACGCTCTGACCCATGAGGATCTTACTTTGGAGATAGACAGCAATCAGTACAAAAGGTATGAAAGGGAAGGTGACCAGACCAAGACGCCAGTCAAAGTAGAGAGACAATATGATGCTCACACCAAGGGTTGTTATGGCTTGCATTATGGTACCCACACGAGACCCTGTTGCCTGTTGAAAATTGTTGCTCAGTTATTGTAACATACGAAAGAAACACTGCTGAAAATAACCCCATGATTTATAAATTACTGTATGTCCAGTATTAATTTTCAAACACTTCAATATATCTATAAGCTTATCCAAAATACATCAAAGCAAATTATCATTGAAATATTGTATCATCACAAATGTCGGTCCTAATAATAATGAGACCTTTGATGCTGAAGCATATTACTCAAAAAGCTGGTGAATATTTTAGTACTGTACACACTACAGTACAATTATGTAACTTGATTTCAATCTGAGTCAATGTACAGTAATTTGTATAATAATTTATTATAGAAGAAGCCGTAGCATAGCTAGAATTTTTGGTGTGTATGTGTGTGTGTATGTGTACAATGTGTGTGTGTGTATGGGGAGGGGGCAAATCTTCCTCCAAAAATGTACTTTTATCCTCTTTGCTACTAATAAGCTGGTTAGCCATGTGGATGTGACAAAGATACTGTTTGTCATTCATCTATCTCATAAAATATAAAAATTCATAAGCATTTTAAAGAATCTATTATGTGCGAGAAACACATATAAATACGTCTGTATCAACAGTGCTGTACAAAACCAGAACAAATACACTACCACTAAATCAAAGAAAACAATTCACAAGAGAAAACACACAATGCATTACCATGTGGAACAATGAATTTAGTCCTTCCTGGATCTGCTCTACAAGTCCATATATATTTTTGTGTGCTCTACATGTGACAATTGAATTGAGCTATATGACCCTTAAGCTTCAAAACTGACAGAGGAATAAATTACCCAAAGTAATTCTTTCTGACATTTAGTGGTGGGGTAAATGCTCCTGGCTCCCTCTATGGCTACCCACTAAAACCAACCACTTCTACTCATAAAGCACCATGTATATTTAGCTTTTGCAATGGCTTATTTTCATAAATAATTTATACCTCTTTTAACTGTGTAAATCTCCTTTTCTCCCCTTTCTAGAAAATTATATTGACAGTTTGAACTAAATACCAATGACTGTACATACACATATTTGTAAAACTTTAGTGCAATATATCATCGATAAATCTCAAAAGATATTCGTTCCATACCCCCTGTACGGCAGCAGCATCTCCAGACAGGCGTGAACACAGGGCCCCAACAGAGTTCTTCTCATCATCAAACCAACCCATCTCTTGGCGTAACATAGCAGCAAAGGCCAGCTTCCTGAGTCTTGAAGTAAGCAATTCTCCAGACAAAGAAAAGAAATATGCCTGGCAACAAATAAAATAAACTATTAAAAATTAAAACACGCCATATAAGACAAACACATCTACAATAAAGGTAGATTGTTCTGATGTTGGAGAACTTTCTCAAATTCCTAACTGTAATGCTTGTGATGTGCATATTAAAGGTTTAAATTAAATCTATTGTCTCAATTAAACTAGGACAGTACAGTGATCACCTGCGGATATGTCTTGTTAGTTAACAATCAACTATTTGACCAATTAATTTACACCATAATTTATATAAATACAAGGGCTTTGTACATGTTCAAACATGTACTGTATTGTTACAGTTGTACCCCGCTTAACGCGGTCAATTGAACCCACAGGGTACCGCGTTAAGTGAAAACTGCGTTAAGTGAACAACAGAACATATGGGATTAATTCCAATAGAGACTGGCCCGACCCCCAAACTCCACTTTTTGACGATACACAACTATGTTGTAGTAAAAATATTATCTTAACTTTATGATGGTATGCACACACAATTAATAATTATGAGAAATATCAATAATATTAGGTTTTTTAACACTTACAGTAGTAGAAAAGATGGCTGGGCACACAGGGATGGGGGGGTTGGTTCCGAGGCAGAGGGCAGATTATTGGCCCTCACCTGTATCACTTGTATCAATTGTATCACTATCCACCACAGAGGCTTGCAGGGCCTCTTTGTCAAACCCCTCAAAGTCCATATAACTCCATATCCTCACTATAATTATCACTATCACTGACTTGGGCCGGCTGTGGTGGGTGGCGGGTGAAGAACTCGGTAATGTTTTGATGACTGGGCGACCTTGTGCGCATCGAGCCCGCGCCGCTTCCCGCGTATATGAGTAGATGAACCGCGTTAAGTGAAAGTTAGGTTCTGGCGAGGCACCGCGTATATGAGAAATCGCGTTAAGTGAAACCACGTTAAGCGGGGTACAACTGTATTTAGATTGCTGTACAGTATCCCAGTGTGAAAATGAATAGTTATTTAGAATTCTAATACATTATCTCGTACATTAATGCCTAATTTTTTCCAAGACATTTATATGGTTATTATTTTACTCTTTCATTATTATTATTATTATTATTATTATTATATATATATATATTTTTTTTAAATACTATGCAGGTAATTACAGCAAATATATTGTACAAATTTCATTGGAACTCTAAAACTGGATAACTAACCTTTAAAAAGCAATTAAAAAAGCTGTAGGTAAAGAAATTCAATATAATAATCTTATATTTTAAATGCTCAAGAAAATAAAATGCAAGGCATGACTACACACAACCTAAGGAACATAATTATAATATTAATATAACAAAATAAGTTTCAGTTAACTTCACATAAAACTAAGAGTAATAAAAAACAAATAATGTAGCATTTACCTGCATGAACATGGAGATAGCAGCAACTATGCCAATCAAAAGGAAAAGCAAGGAATAAAAATTAGCCTCTGCCCTGGCTTCATCTTCATCTGCTAGTGAAAGGGTCTGAAAAAAATTCACTTGCTTTTCATACACATTGCATTACTATTATTCTAAAACACTGTAAATCATACTACAAATTATGATATATCTTAAACTTTGAGAGATAATTTTCCAGTATAGGTGTCCTAGTATACCACTTGTAGAGCAAATCATGATAACATACACAACTAATAATCTGCCAAACCAAACACACACTACTATACCTATAAATGAAATTACTGGAAAAGGCACTAACAGTCTGCATCCCTTCCCAAATTGAAGACTTCATACATGTAAATAATATGTAAAAATATCAGAAGTAAAAAATCTGTACTTGTATGCCAACAATGAGCAACACAGTGTGTCTCATAATGGTGCTGTTTTTGTTTTTGTTTTTTTTAATTTTTTTAATTGTCTGCTGCGTACCATTTGGCTTTTTGTACATGAATACTAAACTGACTATTTCCTGTAGTAATAATTTTTCTGCCATCTTCACAAAGAACACACCGAATCCATCCTAGTAAAGAGCCTGCACCAATTTTCTAGGGAGAAATAAAAACTTAATAAACAAACACTTACCCCGAGCACATCACCGAATAAGATTGCATAGACTGGCAAAGTTGTTCCTTGAATAGCTGATCCTACCACTCCACCAACAATGTATGGCCACTCTGAGGAATTTGTCTTCAGAATCTTGAAGATTGAAACAGGAGTAAAATCTTCCTCTTTTTCCTGAAATATTAAACTTCAGTAATAAATATGTACTGTACTCTTATTAAGAGGGAATTATCAACAACTTTAATCAAATATACAGTTTATAATTTAATTAAAAATAAGGGTAATATACTCACAAGAACCTTGGAAATCTTGCCAATATTCTTGTCTGCCTTAACAGTAGATTTTCTTCGGCGGAAGGAATGACCACGGGGAAGAGTGTGTGCCAAGGCCCCCGGGGACATAGTAAAGTCATCCACAATGTTTTGAGTTATTTCAGATAAACTGTCAGTATCATGGGTGTCCTCATCTTCAGTTGATGGCACCTTCTTGTTTTCTAATTAAGAATAACAGATTATATTCTAATCATGTTAAGTAAAAGATCATTTCAGCATAATGTAGTCAAGAGAATTATCTATTTTAACTGGGAATAAAAACTTCTGAGGATGATTTATATGTAAATGAAAAAGAAGGATAAAGTACACTAAAGCATCAGGTAACATCAGAGTTGCAAATATAGTCACAGAGCTATTTCATGTACTACACATACTGCACAGATCTTATGAGGTAGAACCAATGGCTAATTTCCAAATCAGTGTTTTAAACATCTTCATTCACACTAACCACATAATGACTAAAAGTTAATAATCTCAGAGATTCACATAAACCCTTAAACAACAAGATCACAAGCAGATGATGAGTGCCTATTGTCCTTCCCGACGGTGATCACCTATACAGTATAATACTGTATAGTAATTAGTAGAAAATGAAAATAATTAATAAAATAATTATAATTACTGTATTTTCATCTTGATACATTGTTTTGTTGTATTTACAATCATAATAAAAGATTTTTGTCTTACTGAAATATTTCATTAGCCTACAATATTGGGAGGGAGGAGGTAAAGCTAGGTGCCACCTTTGATACAGCCTATCCTTTTATTCCAAGGTCAAATTACAAATTATATATTGTATTTTTTCTGTTATTGAAGAAGTTATATTATTTATGATGAATTTTATATCAAAAGAGGCTGATCATATGAGAATATAATATAATGAATTAATAATAAAACAGGTCCTAGTCTGGCCCCCTTACCTCTCATCTGGTCATATATGCAACATCTTCCCTCACATTGTTCAGGCTCTCATTAGGCATACAGGGAATTTGACTGCATCATCAAAACTTGTCCTTTACATAAAACAATTTTATAATTTTACCCATATTTTAAAACACCCATTTTCCCCGTTAGAGTAAATAGTGTATGTAAAAATCTCCTGTCGTTTAAGGGATAAATGTCTGACAGAGTCTCGAGATGTAGGTCTGTTCTTAGTTCCAGATGCCTTCTTTCCCCAACATTATAAAATGCAACACTAAGTATAAGTTGTCTTCTCTCCTGTGTTCCTTCATACAATCCTTTTATTTTTACAAGACCTATTAGAAAATGCATTCAATAAGATTATTAGTTAATATTATTTTAGTTGTAAATGAAATTAAGCCTATATTGTACCTGTAAAATGTGGATTAATTTTCCAATTAAGTTACCAGTAAAATTATTCTAGAACAAAAACTTTTAGTACTTCAGTTTCTCACTATACTGTATAGTGGATGGCACCTACCACTTGTTCTCTCTAGTTCTGTTGGAGTAATCTGTGCAGTCACCAAGTTATAATACAATGACTGCAATTTCATCAGTTCATTATGAGTTCCAACTTCAACTATTTTTCCTTCGTTAAAAACGACAATCTTATTTGCAGACTTAATGGTTGAGAGTCGGTGGGCAACAACAACTGTCGTGCGACCTTGACGAACCTAAAAGAGATAGTACAGGACTGTGTAGTATTTATGCAAAGTTTATAACACAAGTTTCAAATGCAGAGTTTATACTACCTAACAGATATACATAATAACTATAGAGAGGCTCTTATTCTTACTCCATACTTAAAAATTGGAAGGTCATCCCGATGGTGAAACAACACTCTGTCGTCTACAGCCAAATTTGAGCACTTTGGAGCATACAAAGTGGTGCATAGTTCAACATGGAGTACATTCACCTCACCAGCTCAAATGCAATAATAATACTGTTAATACAGTATATATATTCCCCCAAATCTGTGATACATATAACTTCAATTCAAGTTATTTGAACAATATTCAAACCTAGCGGTTCCCCCATACTATTCAAAGGTTACCTCTTAATAAATTCAGGTAATTTGATAAGCTATACAGAAAACATTTTCTAATTATCCAAATGTGCCCTAACCACTGACCTTATCAAGAGCTTGCTGGACAACTGCTTCACTTTGGTTATCTAAGGCTGAAGTTGCCTCATCCAAGAGTAATATGCGGGGCTGACGCACCAGTGCTCGAGCGATGGCAATGCGCTGTTTTTGACCTCCTGACATTTGAGCTCCACGTTCTCCAACATTTGTCTCATATTTCTGCATAATACATAACGTACTTAAGACGAATAATGCTAAATGTAAAGTAAATCATAGTGAAATACTTGTGTTTCCTCACATTTTTCACTTGTTAGTACCTAAATATCTTCTCTTCACTATACCTGTACCATTAAGTCTTTGATGTCCAAAGGTTATTCTAATCATCTCAAAGAAAAAAATAATGAATATTTTTCTAAAGAAACATGAAAATTTTGCAAAAATTTATTTTTGCAAGAATTACTGGTATATATTACTCTACTACCAGTAATGTACTTATACATAACAGCCTTCTAATATCAAGTTTGGGTTAAATGTCATCACCAAGCAAAAGAACTTAAATAAAAATAAGCCAAACCAAATTACAGTAATCCTATTCCTATACTGTACACTTTAATTTTCAAAATAATGTATCAGCAAAACTATTTTAAAGAAACAAACCTTTGGCAACTTCATTATGAAATCATGAGCATTTGCCTCTTTGGCAGCTGCTTGTATATCATCCATGGACACACCATCACAGCCATATCTGATATTTTCTGCTATGGTGGTAGCAAAGAGGATTGGTTCCTGCCCCACCACTCCTATCTGATCTCTCAGCCAACCCAAGTTGAGACTGTTTACTGGTTTTCCATCCAGCAGTACCTATGTCACAAGACAAAATTGTTTTATTCACCAGGAACAAGAAATTAAAATGTGATCAATTTATCATAAACACAGTAAACACTCGATACAACGAACCAATTGTGGGGAAAGGTGGCTTGTTAAAGCCGGAAGTTCATTATATCGATATATTAAATATTTAAGCCAGAAAAAAACAAAAAAAAACAAGTACAGTACGTACTAAAATTTGCTGTATTTACCTATGAAGTTGAATCTGCAGTTGTTTTCTGGTGATCTTGAGGTGGCCAGTGTTAGGTAACTACATTAACTACTGAAACACTATACACTACTATGGACACTTTATACATAACACAGCACACTTTACACATGTTCGATAGGCCTATGTGGTTCATTAAAGCTGAAATTCTGTATATCGAGGTTCGGTATACCCGGGGTTTACTGTAGCATCAATAAACTAGGAGCAACTTTTTAGCAAACTTTCTATTTCTACATCATAAGACTAGCAAGAAGCTGAAGAAAATTTGACGAGTGAGAAATAGGATATACAGTAAGTCCTCGTTTAATGTTACCCCCGACAACGTTGTTTCATTGTAACGTCGCTACTCTTTAGGTGTCCATGATTCGGACAATGTCCTGCCGATTCGGTATAACATTGTAACGGACTACTCTGTACGGTGCATCACCCTCTCTCCCAGTCAGAGCGGGAGGAGGAGCCCCCATCTGGGTCTCAGTGACTCACCACCCTCCACCTCTCCACTACCCACCACACACTCGCTTCATCTTCGCCCATCAGTGAGTACAATACAAAATGATTTAGTTTATTTATCTTTTTGGATGTATAATATAGTATATACTATTTTCTATAAAAAAATCCCATTGAATTTCTGTATATGTAATGTATTTTATGGGGCAAAGGGAGGCTGGGGAATATAACTCCCGTATTTTATCTATTTCTTTTGAGGAAAATTGATTCCGTTGACTTCCGTTAACGTTGCGGTTCTCGGGAACGGAACCACAATGTTAAGTGGGGACTTAATGTATAGTTCAACTGTAGCTATGTAATTTAGATGAAATGTTCAATAAAGGAACCAGACCTTGAAAAATTCAGGATACAAACAGGTGGTATCAAACAAAGATAAGTTGGTAGGGGGACAAAATATTAGCAGTGAAGGAGATGCTAAAATCTGAATATAATTTGAAGATAGAGACTTACCCTTCCAGAGCGGGTATCATAGAAACGTTGAATCAACTGTATACAAGTCGACTTGCCACAGCCAGATGACCCCACCAGAGCAACAGTTTGTCCTGGATCAACCTTAAGGTTTATACCCTGCAATATCTTGACATCTGGTCGTGATGGGTAGTTGAAATGAACGTCTTCAAACTCTGCAAAAATCATAATCATTGTGGTGCTTTTATACAATATTGGAGATGTAGGGTACCTACAAACCACAGACATAAAATTTAAAATACTGTATAAGAATGAAGTTAAAGGCACGAGATGTGAAACAGAACAACAATAGGGAGTTTGACAAGGAAAAGTTACGGAACTGAGTGATGAAAGAACAGTAAATATGGATGTGGAAGAAGCTTGGATACTTCTAAGCTCAGGAATGAGGGAAGCAGCAGATGAAAAAACAGTTTAGAAAAAAGAAGACGAGCCATGGTTTAATGCAGCAGCAAAGAAGTTACAAATAAGTGAACAGCAGTAATAGCTGAGAAGAGACTGAAGAGACCCTACAACTGAAACAACCTAAGGGCACAGAGGAATAGAGCAACACTAAAGTTATACAGAATGCTGAAGCTGCATCAGAATACTTATTGGGGACCAAAAGGCAGCAGGAAAAGCAAGAAGTAAGGGCATGTATAGAAATAAAAAATATTCAGAACAAACACACTGTGACTGCATGGGCTCTGCAAAGGCATGGAAGTCCTCAACCTCAGGGGAAATAACATAGAAAGTGGTAATTATTAAATGTACGGAGTGCAAATAAAAAACGCAGACCCTGTGGTAATCGGCATCAGAGGGTTAGTATCTACAACATAAGGAATGATGAATACGAGGAGAGTCTGACCCCTGGGAATTGAGGAAGCATGGCAAGATACAGTATTAGAATAAGATTTCAAAAGCCCTAAAAAATGGAAGAATTAGAGACAGGAATCAGGATGAAGAAAGCATTAAGAGTGCAATTTAATAAAGTTTGGAAAAGTTAAGTGGTAACAGAGAATTGAAAGAAGCTTGTAGTCACGTACATAAAAGAAAAAAAGAGGGAAGTAGAAGAGAACATGGAAATTACAGAGGACTAAGATTATTATTAGTTTGAACCCAGGCATTTGTGAGGATTATATTAAACATGATAAGGCCTGTAATAAAAGAAAAACTCAGGGAAGAGCCAACATGGTTTATAACAGGAAGAAAGTTCAGATTAGTGTCGATTATAATTTTTTGTTTTTTAATACAGTTCAATAGGCTATGGACTGTAAGGACTTTATGTATTTTTACTCATTAAAACTTACCAATTATTCCTGTTACAGATGGAGGCTTATCACCCACTGTGCTTGTAGGATCGATGACCGACTTCCTTTCTATTATGTCATAGATGGTAGCAGCTGCTCCTCTTGCAACACTGAAGGCTTCAAAGTAGGGTGCTGCTTGCCCTACATTCATTGCTCCCATTAAAACGCTGAAGAATACCTGAAATAATATGTATGATAATAAATCTTGATGTTGTTAAAATTAACTTTAAATCATGCAGAATAGCATACTGTCTGATGAGAAAAAATGGCTTTGTTGATTATGTTAAAACACGAGTCACCTGATGACAACATGTCTCCCTGTCACCATAGATAGGATGGACACATGAGCCATCTTGGTACAGGAACTTCAATCATTCACATACACCTTGTGCACCAAGTTCTCTGAAATTCTGTTGTGAACTTTACAGAAAAGTTTATTTTACTAATTCCTGATTACAGACTGACAAACAAACACATTTTGGTTGTTATATCCCTCTTTCCTGCCAGGAAAGTGGTGAAAATTAAAACTGTGATTAATTCTAAACAAGATTGAGTGAATTACAACTTGTCAATTTTCTATCCCTGACACTGATCTTAAAAAGTTGCGAAGTTACATTTTGTCACAGGTTTTAAATGTAACTCACAAATACTGTAATTCATTATACACCTTAAAACACATGTTGAGGCAGGAAGCATTCATTTACAATAGCTGATGCAATCACTAAAAATTGAATCTAGACATAATTTGTAGTGAGTTATATGATGCCAGGTGATCAGAATTTGGACTAAAACTACATTCACTGTCACTGATTCTCTCTTAACTGCCAAGAGGAGGTTCTGTAAACCTTATGGATGTATGAAAACCCTGGCACTTACGATGATGAGGGCAGCAGGATCATAGTTTCCATTGCCACTTCGAGACTCGAGAATGAGGTCAGTACCATAATAAAAAGACAAGGAATAGGCTGCATAAATGAAGAACCACATTAGCCCCATCCCAATCCCTGTCACCAGACCACGCTTCACTGCAGCTCTCTTTGCATGTCCCAAATTTGCTTCATATCTGTAATATTAGAAGCATTATGATATTAGTATCACATACAAATATTATAAATTTATTACATAATAACTGAAAACCCATAAATAACTTGTTGGAAGTAAAAATGACAACATGTAAAAATTAAAACTTAAGACTCACTTTTGACATAGACTTAAAAGACTGTTTCAACCAAATAATGTATCATAGAACTGTATTCATTTACTGGTACAAGGTACTTGTCAAAATATATATCAGTCTTTCCATACATGCTTTTAGTTTATACTTTACAAATAAATACTGTAGTAAATAATTCATAGACATAACAGATAAAATGATATAAAAACGTATTTAAGTTTTGACAACAGAAGGTGCAAAGGTCATTTGAAGAAATATGCAAGGAAGTTTTATTTTTTATCTGCAAAACACTCTGCTCTGTATGCAGAACACAATACTGGACTGTACTGTAATGGATAAATAATAAAGTACTGTCTCTTGACAGAAAAAAGGGTAATGTTTCAATGTGGTAATGTGGTAATACAGTACTGCAAGGACAAAATGACTAAAAATTAAGACATTACTGAATGCAACCAAATGAGATTAACTGGCATCAATTTACCCCAAATATTTACACTGAATATGAAAATACCTGTATCAACAAGTGTGCACAGTACAGTACCTGCCAACTTCCTTGCTTTCCCCACCAAAGGCTATCACAGTTCGGATGGCAGAGATCACCTCCTCTGCAATGCTGCCAGCTCTTGCATATTCTTTCATTTCTGAAGAAGTTAGATTTGTCTGAAACTGAAAGTATGCGGGATTAATATTAAGGGGTGTTAACGATAATGCAGCATCAATAACTGATAAAGTTTAGTGTTTATTTCTTAACACAAATACATTATCACACATACAGTTTAGGTAAGTCAGATCTTTGTTGAAGGAAAAAATATTAAAACAAAGCAAATTTCAGGCAGTACTCACTATGTGCACTCCTGCTATGCTATACATATTTTTGGATATGCAAAGAGAGAGAGAGAGAGAGAGAGAGAGGAATACAAAATGGATATGTGTGTGTGTGTGTGTGTGTGTGTGTGTGATTTTTTTACATCAATAGAAGAGCTGAGCCTAGGTGCTGACACAGACAACTGGAAGTATTCCTATGTTAGTTAGTCAGTGGTGTGGGTTGTGCATTATTTAGAGAAGAAGTGTTCTTCCATCTTTGAGGGAGATCTAGAGAAGTTCTAGAGTGAGATAAATAGTACTGTACTGTACTTTACTACAAATGAGTCATCTTTATGAATTAACCAAAGGTGTAATCATCACACTATCATTGACAGTAGTGTGTTAAGTTTTCGAATTTTCCCACTTATAGAAATATAAAAATCTGGAAAAATGAATGAATTTCACTCGATACTGTACAGTATTTACCAGAGAGTAAGTAAATAATTTAATCTCATAACAATCTTCTATGGGTAATAAACCCAAACCCCTAAGTCTTTCTTCTTAATTCTTGTCCCGTCTCCTTTTTATTTAAGCTTGAGGTTTGAAAAGAATGGATGGATAGCAACACAACATAAAAAATGTGTGAGTTAAATTTTTCCCTTTGTAGTCCTCAGTAGATGAACAAAAATCCGTGTACTGTACTGAAATAATTCCTGATGAGGTTGTTGCATTTTAATTCTTGATTCTAGTTACCCTGCAGCATAGTGCAAAAAGCCTCAGAAGAATAGAAAAAAAAAAACGATTGCTACTAACCTTTGCAATAATGCCAGTCGAGATTCCCAGAAGTGGAAACACAGAGAGGATAATGAGAGTCAGCTCCCAGCCATGAACAAAGGCATTGATAAGGGATGCCAAGAATGTGGTCATGAAGAACAAGAACATGCCAACCTTCTCTCCAATACCTTCTTGTAACTTGTTTAGGTCCCTGTAAATATCAGAAAAGGGTAAAAACATTTGTTGTAAAAAGTTTATCCACAAAATAATTAAGTAAAAATAAAAAGCCAAAAAAATAAATTGCTACAAAGCAGATTTTTTTTCCCTATCATGTGGATCTCTTAAAGGCTGGGCTTACTTGATAATTATAAGAAAAAGTTGTGTTCTTTAAAAGGCAGTAAACACCCAGTGAAATGAAGCAAAACAACAGTCACTATATCTACAGAGTTCCTTACATTATCTCAAACAATTATTTTGGTGTATTTGTCACTGTTCACCTGAGCACCTCAATTAACTAATGATGACACCAATAAGGTTGATGTTGATCACAATGAGGAATATATAATCATGAATGGAAAAGGAAAGAAAGAAAAATCCCTAAAAAAGGTGCAACACAGAGCAACTAAGATGATTCCTAAACTGTCATTTTGATTATCCAAGTAGACTGAAGGCCTTAGGATTAGCAACCCTTCAGACAAGGCACAAAATGGCAGATCTCACTGAAACATTCAAAATAGAGTACTGAAAGGGATGGAAAACGTGAACCTGGGACATTTCTTTGTGATGTCATGCATCACCAACACGGAAGGACATAACTACAAGCTTGCCAAGTTATAATGCAAGATGAATATAAAGAAATACTTTTTCACACAAAGGTTGGTAGACTCATGGAATGTTCTACCAGCCCAAGCTGAGGAAAAGAATCAAGAACAGTACAGGGGTTCAAAATAGCCCTTGACAAAATTATAAAGAACAATAAAGAGATCTTACACAAGCCACTGGCCTCCTTCCCTTGGCATTATATATATATATATATATATATATATATATATATATATATATATATATATATATATATATATATATATATATATATATATATATATGCTGATAACCACAAGGAGAGAAGAAAACACGAAGTTCCCAAGCGCTTTTGTGTAATTCACATCTTCAGGGGTGAGTACAGACTAAGGAGAAGTACAAAACAAGGTGTATATATACAGAGGAGGGTGAGACCAGGTCCACAATGGTCAGGTATTAGGTAATGACCCTACTAATCTTTAAATAGCACCGCAACTGTCGGTAGTCAGGTCAGAAGGTAAGGTGACCCAACCTTCTCACCTGGTTACAAATCTTCTTAATTACAAAATTGTCCAGTTTGTACATGCCATTACTAAAATTCATGTTGAATGCTTCGGTATGTTTAATGAGACTAGATTCTATGATGTTCCTACTATCAATTGAATTACAAGGTAATATTGAGGAGGCATTATCCCAGTTAATGCAATGCTTGTTATCCCTCAAATGAACAAACAGAGCATTGGATTCCTGGCCTGTCCTAACACTATATTTATGTTGTTTAAGTCTAGTTACAAGATCTTTACCTGTCTGGCCTAAGTAAAACATATTACATTACTTGCAAGGAACTTTATAAATGCAACCAATTGTGTTGTTGGGGGGAGTTCTTGATTAACATTTGTTTAACAGTGCATGAGTTTTTAAATGTCACATTGACGTTCCAGGTTTTTAGTTATAAAGGAATTTTAGAGAAATTTTTGTGAAATGGTAATATTAAGATATTCTTATGGTCATGGGTGGGCTTGGGATCAGTTCTATAAAAAAATTTCTTTGTAATGTTCAGGCATTTGTCTATGAAAGATCTAGGTTATTTAAGGTTTGAGCCAATATTATAGATATATTTATATTCCTCATCAATGAATTCCGGGCTGCAAATTCTCAAAGCACGTAAAAACATTGTTGAAAATACTGACTGTTTAACTCTATTATGGTGGGCAGAATAATAATGAATGTATGAACACACATTAGTAGGTTATCTATAAATACTGAACTTAAAAGTGTTACCTATTCTGTGTATCAGACAGTCCAGGAATGGCAATTTACAGTCTTGCTCTAATTCCACAGTGAATTTGATCGAGGGGGCTAAGTTGTTAAGTTGTGGCAGGAAAGCTTTTAGGTCCTCATTACATGGCCAGAAACATAATACATCATCAACATATCTAAACCAGACTGCTGAAGGTGGTAAAATATTACTTAATAGTTTCTTTTCAAAGAATTCCATATATAGGTTGCTTAATACACTCTCACCTGTATTAAGCAACCTGCCCATGGAACAGGAGGTGAGTACTGTATCTGCTTGACCACTGCACTCCTTACTGTAATAATAACTCCAGTATACTGTACATAAAAGTTGAGTGAAATAAAATTGGATTCATTATGTTTTTATACAACCTCAATCAAAGACTTTTTTTGTCTATGCTGGAGAGAAAATGGTGATTGTCATTATGGTAATTTTGAAGAAAAGAGGAACAGGATAAGAATGGTAATTATATGAAGATGTAAGCTTTGTTGACAATCGTGATAACTATTAATGAATTCTCAAATTGTCCACTTGAGGAAAATATCCATAAACTCACTCGGTTACTCTGCTGGCAAAATCATTTGTTTGGTGGGTGTCAAACCAGCCTATCTCTTGTATAAGGATGCTCCTCAGGAACAGTCTTCGAAGTCTGAATACCTGAAGTCAAATAAGAACTATCAGACTGCATATTAAAACAAAACTTTCACAGTACAGTAACCACAAAAATAAAGGATAACGTGCTGCACGGTCTCTTGGCGTGTTGCTAACTCTAATGTATGGTATTCAAAAATACAGAAAAATGCTTCCTTCCTGATAATGTTTCTGATAACTTATCAGCTTCTAGACATATTATTGGAATTATTGTGAGAATAAAGAAATACCCAGTAAATAAATGCTTGGCAAGACTCAAGAAAAGATGAGTGATACAGTGTACAGGAACTGTATACAGTTTTTTAAAGTAAAACTCCATCATAGCCTCCTCCTACCCTCCAAATTGTAGTACAGTGAAACCCCTAATTAACGGACTAAATAGAGAGGAAGATCCATTATATGGAGATGTAAAATCGCCATCTCACGAAATATATAGACATGAAAGTCCATTACAGTGAGGGCCATTTGACGTGAAACCCCCATCTAACAGATTATATGGAGATAGAATTCCATTATAAGGAGGTTTCACTGTAGATACTCTGTAGATGAAAATATATCTTGGCAGGTTGTTATAGTACATGTAATACAGTACATGTACTGTATTACATCTACTATATGATCATCTATACTGCTATATACAGTACTTATATATGCGTGGATGCCATATTGTACCTTTTAAGTCTGATAATTTCAGCAAAAGAAAGCAACCTTTTCAGTTGTCGTTCAGCAAAACTAACTTGCAGAATCCTTTCACAACAGCATCAAGCATTACATCTACAGACAATATGTTATTTACAATGATAGAGTTAAAAGAAACTCCATCTATGTGTGACTAATGACCCACTACATACTGTAGCACAGAAGCTCATGCCAACCCTTTCATGCAAGATAATGTTTTCAGCTTCAGACAGTCCTTCATACTCATTTCCCTCACAGTCATGTGCTCAATTCTGTCTCTCCACTTCAGGTTTTGCCTTTCTTTTTACACTCATCTCACTTCCATTCATTATTCTTCATACCTATCATGTTCAATCTCTCCAGATGTTCATCTTTATGGTAAAAAGAACATGGCAATACAGTCAACCCTCGCTTTACGCAGTCCCACTTTACGCGTTTCCACGTTTACGCGGTACCCTGCCGAACACGGAATGCTCACTTTCTGCGGTGTGTGTACCCTTTTACGCGGAGAGCGGCGCGAGCAGTGTGCGCACAAGGTCGCCCAGTCATCAAAACATTACCGAGTTCTTCACCCGCCACCCACCACAGCTGGCCCAAGTCAGTGATAGTGATAATGATAGTGAGGATATGGACTTTGATGGGTTTGACAAAGAGGCCCTGCAAGCCTCTGTGGTGGATAGTGATACAATTGATACAAGTGATACGGGTGAGGGCCAATAATCTACCCTCTGCCTCGGAACCAACCCCCCATCCCCGTGTGCCCACCCATCTTTTCTACTCATGTAAGTGTTAAAAAACCTAATATTATTGATATTTCTCTTAATTATTAATTGTGTGTGCATACCATCATAAAATTAAGAAGTTATTTTTACTACAAAGTAGGTAATGTGTCTGAAAAAGTGGAGTTTGGGGGTCGGCCCGGTCTCTATTTCAATTAATCCCATATGTTATGTTGCTCACTTTACGCGGGCCGCCGTGGGTTCAATTGACCGAGTAAAGTGAGGGTTCACTGTATATAAAATTTTATTTCATATTCTAATTGCACTGTACCGTATATCATCCAGAATAAACTTAACCTCTGACATTCGAACAGTGTATCAAATGCAAATCAAAATCACTAAATTCCATGATGGAGTAAAAATAATTTCTTTTAAGGAAATAACCATTGTTCAGTAACAATAAGTTTACATTCAATGTAACTACCGGTACAGTACATGTACAGTACTGTAGTTCCGACGATTCTCACTGAAGATTGAATCATAATACAGTGATATCCCCGTTAGCTGGAACAATTGGTGCAGAGCACTTCCGGGAATGAGAGATTTCCAGGTAATGAGACGACTCTCTCAAAGCCGGAAAAAATCCTTCATCCCCGGAATTTTCCGGGAAACCGAAAATTTTTCTCGGAATTTCCAGAAAATGCCCCTGATTTTCATCTCTCAAACCCGAAAAAAATCCCCCATCCCCGGAATTTTCTGGGTATCGGGAAAAATTTCTCGGAAAGTGTGCCCCTGGAAAAATCGCTCCCAAAGCCTGAATTTTCCAGAAAATTCAGGCTTTGGGAACGATTTTCCGATAAAATTTCAATTCCGGCTATCGGAGAGTCCCGGGTTTGAGGGATTCCGGCTAACGGAGATATTACTGCATTGATAATGTAACTTGTCTATGTTAAAAAGGAGACACTGGAATGCTGCACTCATTCTAAGTCAAACTGATCAAGCAGGTAATAGTGATGCTAATTGCAATAACTAGGGTTAACTGATACAACCTGGGTTGTGGTGGGACAGCGGTGACATGCTTATCTCCCACTACTGTGTACTGAGTTCAATTCCTGGCCCAAGACAGATGTGAAAAGGATATTATCGGCATTGACCCTACCAAACCTCACAGTTTTTCTGTGAGAACTCCAGTTTCCTCTTGTACTAACACTGGACAAACTCATGAGGAAACCGGGGTGGTATTAAACAAGCCACTAGCTTCCTCTCCCTATAAAGTACTGTATAGTTATGACATACTTGTCCCTCCGCTGCATAGTTCATAGTAGTCACAAATATGTAACCCATGACCATCTGGATGCCACCTATGATGAAAGTTCCAATTCCAAATACCACAACTTTTTCAAAGAAGCTTTCATCTTCAGGGTAAGGTGTCCCATTTCTGAAATAAACAAATCTTTGGTGACACAGATGTAGTATGTTTGCCTCTCAAACCACTGCATCCCAGGTTCAAGGAGTTGGATTTGACATGGATGTTATCCTGGGTGATCCTACCAAATATTGCAGGTATTCTTTGGGTACAGTACTCAGGTTTCTCTTGTGCTAACTCAAGACAATGAAGGACAAACTCCTAAGGAAGTAAAGGGGAATTAAACAAGCCACCAGGTTCCTTTCCCTGTTAAAGATGTAAATAACAAATACTGTACATCTGTTTGTAAAAAGGAAGATACATACAGAAAGTTTATGTAGAATGATTGGATTATTTTCTATGTACAGTACAGTATCTATTAAAATGAATAAATGGGAAGCAGTACAGTATATAATTAAAACCAAATAAAGACTACATATTGCAGGTACTGTACTGTACAGTATATTCAACTGCAACACAGAGTACGTAACTTAATTTCAAAATCCTATTTAGTTTATACCAAAGGTTTAGGCTGTGTAGGTGGAATGGAGTAACCAAAGACCTGGAACGTAACTTTACTTTTACTTCATCCTCTTTGCTACTGATCAACTTGTTAGCCACCTGGGCAGTCAGTCATGTCTCTGTTACACACTGTTGGAAAGTACTGGCTATGTACTGGCTCCAGGATGTATTTAAACCTGTACCAGTGTTGGTCAAGTCTGGTCTTGAATCTGCTAACACTCGATGCCATCACAAAATTCTCTGGCAGATTATTCCACGAGTTTACAACTCTTACTCCAAAAAGGTTTGCCCTGACTATTTTCTGAGCTTGTGGCTTCTTTAACTTGAGACTGTGACCTCTAGTGGGGTGGGTCTCTGCTAGTTACAGGTATAAACACTTGGCAAAGTAATGTCTTCTTGAGGTGATTACAAGCTTCTATCAATTTATTCATGGACATTCTCAAGTATATCTCAGGGACCATACAGGATGACAGTTCTCAAAACTGGGAAGCACCTCACTTTTGAAGAGTGTTATGAGGGATGGACCATCGAGGTATGTGAAGGCCATTCTAATCAGACCTAATAGCTTATTTGTTTAATTTACCTTCTTCTTACAATGGTCCAAGTACAAACTTAATTTTTTTTTTAACATGTGCACCCAGGTCCTTTTCACATTTGGTCTCAGTAAAAGTTGGGATGTGTGATATGCCTCCTTACTATTGACATAACCTAGGTGCATCCTTTTGCATTTCAGGACGTTGAACTTAATGGTCATTCCTTTAACCATACCCGAAGGCAACAAAAATCTTCCTATTGTACTTCACAGTTGGTTTTTGTTCTTAATTTCTGGCACATCGTCTATGCAACAAGCAAACAAACAACAACGGTCCCAGTACACTGTTCTGTGGTACCCTGCTTGTCACTGGTACACGTGATGACTTTGTTTCATTAATCACCATAAACTGCTTGCAGTCATAAAGAAAGTCTCTGATCCATACTAGTTTGATTTTCAGCCTTTCATGAGATGTGTGATTGAATGCCATGGAAAAGTTATGATATGTATTGTCACTATTTTCACCATGGTCCAGAATGATAATATAGCACCTTAAACTGCATGAAGCAGGGGAGTCCAGGTATAAAACCATGTTGGCCTTCCTTTACAAGGTTGTTCTGTTTTAGATATTACATCACAGTATCAGAGATAGTGATCTCACTAGTACTGTACTTCACACACTATGCTGGTCAAATTCACCAGCCTAAAATTTTTTGTGCAGTGGCAATCACCCTGTTTGAATATAGGACTCACAAAAGCAATTTTCCAGTTGCTGGAAACCCTTTCCTCATCCATGCATCTGCAGAACAGCATTTTAAGGGACTCTGTAAGCTCATTGTACAACTCTCTTAACACTCTAGGATGCACACTATCAAGGTCAAGGCTCTTATGAACCTTGATCATTGACAATTTGGTTCTAATACAGAGGCTTGCGAAAGTGACAGACCATCACTTGGTTGCAATAAAGATGTTGCAAAAACAAAGAGAACTCCCAATCAAGTCTCGTACCGCTGCTACATCTAGCATGGTACTGCTACTAGCCTGGTGCACTACTGTTACTATAACTCAATACAGTACTATTAGAATGTGTATTACAATTTGTGTGTTAAATTGTGGTAAGTGCAAATGACTTAATATGGCCACTATGATTCTGGCTGATTGGTCAATTCTGGGGATGAAACACCTACCTAGGGAAAAGGAATCAGGAGGTTATGTGACCTCGGCTCATTTACTTCCTATTGGCCAGTAATACTGTAATGTATTATCCCCCAGAAGACAAAGACCTTTTACATAAAATACAAAAGATACCAGAATAATAAGCCACTCACGGATTTGACGAAGAGGGAGTTGTGGCGTTGAGCATGCTATTATCAACGAAGGCATTTGTCAGGTCCCCAAACAGAATGAACAACGCCGGCATGCACACTCCTGATAACATGGCTGCCAGCAACCCACCAGCCATCAACCATTTTTCAAATACGGTCGCATATTTAAACTGGAAAAAAGGTTAAAATACATCAACATAAAGCTCTACATACTCAACACTCTCTTAGGGATCACCTGAAGATTAACTCCACCTTAATTCACATTAAGATAACCTTACCACACTAACACTAACTTCACCCCCCCCCCTCCCCCCCCGGTAGTGTTTGGGTGTTCAATCATCAGGTAAAATAAGCTGGGGGGCTAACGTTCATGTGATCCAAGAAAGGTATAATGTACAGTATAGTGCCAAGTACACAAAATCCATTAAAAGTCGTAAAAAATATTTTGATAAAATATTTATTACGGATAGAGCCTACTATTAATACAATTGTATTTACATGAACAATATATTATAATTATCTTGATGTAAATATGAGATGAGTTACGATTCGTTTATCCCTTGAGCTGAAATTATCAATGACATACAGTACTTGGCTCCTAATCAAATCATTAAGTGTTGCCACCGTTTCCTTTTATTAAAGTAGGCTCCTAATCAAATCATTAAGTGTTGCCACCGTTTCCTTTTATTAAAGTAGAGTCCTTTCATTAACTCGATATTTATTCCTTGAGTCAGTCTTGATGAGCTAAACATGTGAACAAATTCTTTCAACTGCAGCTGATGAAGGCATCTCTTCTCAGTTTGTACAGTATTGTATATTCAACTTGTATGATACAAGGTTTCATTAACAATAGGAAAGTGATGCACAATGGAATCGAGTTGGGCTAAAAAAAAAGGATAAATTATGATTAGTTGTATTGCTCGATGTAAGGAAATTATTAAAGAAAACAGAAGCATCCCAAAACTTAAAATTCATCCATTTCGTATCATTTAGGTCCTTGGCATACGATTTTTTTCTGGGGAATAGCCCACCCGGGCACAAGTCATCGACCCACAACAGGGCCTGGTGCGGGGGGGGGGGGTTGAGGAGGAGGATAAGTATCTCTATGATACTTTCGTATCCCGTTGGAACACTGATTGCGTACTGAAAACATTTAAAATTATGCCAATCACTCGAGTTCTCTCGTCTGTTCATACGATGCCCCTGGAGTAATTAAGAAAAAGGATTGATGTTAATGAACAAAAAATTCACAACATGGAGTCAAACACACTAAACAAAAATTATATGAAGCTGGGAACATGATTAGTTTTTTAAATTATGATGTATATATATATATATATATATATATATATATATATATATATATATATATATATATATATATATATATATATATATACACACTAGCAGAAACGCCGCTCATTCGCTAGGCCACGGTTCAGTCCCCAAAACTTCTTCTTCCATCAATAGTTCATTAACGGTGTATGTAAGTTCCACCGTGTTTTTCACTACAACGGTACAGCAAAGTATATTTTTTTAGCATTAAACTGTTATTATTTTCTTGTCTAATCATCACTACATATAACACCACCCATCATCACTACATATAACACCACCCATCATCACTACAGATCGGTAAAGTAGTTTCCGAGATTCTCGTGGGGGGACACAAACAAACAAAGACACATTCATTAATCAAATGAATACCCAAGTTATGTAAAAAGAAATATGAACAATACGACTACAGTATGCAAGTGACGAACAGGATAAAACCTGTCAAGGTCAGGGACATCCAGGCGCCGTCTCTCTTACTGGCTGAGTAGACGAGGCGACGAAAGCTACTTCACCCACCAATCAGTGGCACTCACTCCCGTGACCCACGTGAGACCAGCAGCTCCCCAAATCTACGACAATCAACTCATGAAGGTGAACAATTTACCTGCAATTTTCTCTTTACGTCACTTCAACACTCGTACATTTGTGATCGATCTATGACGACAAGTGGATTGATAGGCGGGAGGGAAATACAGGGTTGAGTAATTAAAAAAGTCAGCTGAACCCTGTGTTTCCTTCCATCCATGAAATCCACTCGCACATTTCTTCCAACTAGCTTGCTCAATACACCTAACCAAGACTACTGTATGTTCCCCCAAATTCATCGATAGACAAATTTACATCTCGATTCAGTTAAATTTAAATAACCCCAATGGCATTATCTCCTTTCATCCAGATAACATCTCCAACCAGTAGCAACCTTGTAAACTTATGGAATACACAGATGTAGTTTTCTTAGCCTACTCCATGTGCTGTCCGGCACAAACATTCATTACCGCCTGCCTGTGGGAACCTATTGCCAGAAATGTTGATTACAATACTGTACTAGTGTTTACTAGCCTATTTACAGCATCGTATATATCATAATACAGCCCCAGTACAAATTTGGCTGTCAATCCTTGTGCAGTAGCTGTTGTGTGAGAATTACAGGAAGTTTCGAGAATCTGGTAATACTGCACCGTATATTGATACCTACCAGTTGAAGCATAGGAACTGGAGGTAACTTATTTTCTTCCTCATCCTTATCTGTTTTTTTCTTTTTTCCTTTCTTTTTTTGACCATCACCTCTGGAATATAGTAATGCAAATTAAAATAGTGGCAAATGAAAATGACACGAAAAACATCAATGTCTTATCTACAGCCTCAGGTAACAGTGTCAGTACAACACAACTCACCTATCAATGGACTGCATGTCGATCTGTGTGTCATTAAATCCATTTTTTATCTGCACTTGCTGCCTCTTCTCATGTTTACCATTCAAGCTGGAATTCAAATTGAGATCGTCTGATGTTTTCTCTCCCATCACCTCCACTTTATGGTACCTGAAATGAAGACAAATGCTCAAGTTCTGACAAAAGCTTTGAAGATGTTGGCAACCCGCACGGTGTTGCATCAGTCAATACTATACCATATAAAACTGTTGAGTACTTCACCAGTCAAGACTGTTAAATGTAAACAGTTGCCACCAGTCAACCGCTGAATATTCTACAACTGACAAGTAAAGACTGTACAATATTTGTAAGCAACTGAGCACTTAGTTAAGACTGTAAACAAACCAGTTTTTCATATCTTAGGCTAATCCACCAGTCAAGTGCGTACAGTGTAAACCGTAGTTCCACCAATCAAGATATCACAATGTTCGTAAACCAGAGTATCTCAACAGTCAAAACTGTATAGTTATACGACGATTATTCCACCAGTTAGTATTATACATTGTACTGTAAACCAGAGTATTTTACAACAGTCAAGGCAGAACAAATTTAGTAAACCACCGAGTATTCCACCCCGCCACAACTGTACAATGTAAACCAGAGTACATTCCACGGATCAGCACTACATTGACCCTCCCACGATATTCTCGCTTCTGCTATAATGTTCACATTTTCCCAGAATCACATAAACCGCCAAATGATAAGTGTCACAATGGGTAATATAACAACAAAATGCGTGAATCTGAATGTAAATTACACCCCGCTAAGTTTCCTAATATACGGTAAATAAAACGACCAACTGATACATACTTACTAACTAGCGAAACGCAATTGTATATATATATATATATATATATATATATATATATATATATATATATATATATATATATATATATATATATATATGTATATTTCATGTAAATCACAATGAAAACGTGGATAAGATAAATCTTGATAAAATCACACGGAAAATGGAAACAACGGAGTACCTTGGCTTAAATATACAGGGTGACCTAAAACATGAGGTCAGGTCAAATGATGATGACATCCACTAATCCCACCAACACACACGTAGAGGTCATTCATTTTAGAGATATAGTCATCTTTGTTTAAGATCACTACTGTGTTGGCTTTATCTGCTTTAGTGACATGTAGATCCTTATTTTTCTTAAGGGCTTGGATTGCTTTGGTGAATCTTTCTGGACAGTTTGGAACACAAGGCTTGGACATAGATGCATACACAACACCTTTACACATGTTCACTTCTTCACTTGTCAAATTACTGAATTTCTCCAAATTGCAAAATGCTCTGGCTATGTCAACACTGTCGACTCCCTTGTTAGAACCATCAAAACTTAAACCATAGCCGAGGGCACACAAGGTATCATTGTCTAGTTGTTTCGAGGAGAGATTCACTACACAGTTGTTATTGGCATCCTTAGTCCAATCACTATTTCTAATAAGGAGTGCCAATTTGTGGTCTATCTTGGCTTGAAGATCAGAACGCTCACGTCTCAGGTTATCAAAACAGTAGTCCAACATGAACTTTTTCCAATAACTCGGTATGGTCATATTAAAAGCGCGCTTTTTTTGTCTTACAATACGGAAGGCTTCATCCACTTCAATTTTCTTTATTTCAAAATGTGTCTTAAGGATGATTTCTTGGAACTCATCAAAGGGGCGGTCAATGGGGAATATTATGCTCAAAAATTTGGTATGGCAATGGGTAATCCACTCTCACCTGTATTAAGCAACCTATATATGGAATTCTTTGAAAAGAAACTATTAAGTAATATTTTACCACCCTCAGCAGTCTGGTTTAGATATGTTGATGATATATTATGTCTCTGGCCATGTAATGAGGACCTAAAAGCTTTCCTGCCACAACTTAACAACTTAGCCCCCTCGATCAAATTCACTGTGGAATTAGAGCAAGACTGTAAATTGCCATTCCTAGACTGTCTGATACACAGAATAGGTAACACTTTTAAGTTCAGTATTTATAGAAAACCAACTAATGTGTGTTCATACATTCATTATTATTCTGCCCACCATAATAAAGTCAAACAGTCAGTATTTTCAACAATGTTTTTACGTGCCTTGAGAATTTGCAGTCCGGAATTCATCGATGAGGAATACAAATATATATATAATATTGGCTCAAACCTTAAATACCCTAGATCTTTCATAGACAAATGCTTAAACATTACTAAGAAAACTTTTTATAGAACTGACCCCAAGCCCACCCATGACCACAAGAATATCTTAATATTACCATTTCACAAAAATTTCTCACACATTCCTGCACAGCTAAAAACCTGGAACGTCAATGTGGCATTTAAAAACTCATGCACTGTTAAACAAATGTTAATCAAGAACTCCCCCAACAACACAATTGGTTGCATTTATAAAGTTCCTTGCAAGGAATGTAATATGTTTTACTTAGGCCAGACAGGTAAAGATCTTGCAACTAGAATTAAACAACACAAATACAGTGTTAGGACAGGCCAGGAATCCAATGCTCTGTTTGTTCATTTGAGGGATAACAAGCATTGCATTGACTGGGATAATGCCTCCTCAATATTACCATGTAATTCAATTGATAGTAGGAACATCATAGAATCTAGTCTTATTAAACATACCGAAGCATTCAACATGAATTTGAGTAACGGCATGTACAAGCTGGACAATTTTGTAATTAAGAAGATTTGTGATCAGGTGAGAAGGCCGGGTCACTTGACCATCTGACCTGACCACCAACCGTTGTGTGCTATTTAAAGATTAGTAGGGTCATTACCTAATACCTGACCATTGTGGACCTGGTCTCACCCTCCTCTGTATATATACACCTTGATTTGTATTACTCTCTCTAGTCTGTACTCACCCCTGAAGATGTGAATTACACGAAAGCGCTTGGGAACTTCGTGTTTTCTTCTTTCCTTGTGGTTATCAGCATATATATATACAGTATTTATATATATATATATATATATATATATATATATATATATATATATATATATATATATATATATATATATATATATATACCTTATGCTCCGTCAAGAACTGATGCTACCGTTGTGTGCCAATAAAAACAAGCTGTTATTGGTAATACCACAATCTCTTGTCTCAAATGTCTCAAGTGGATTACATGTTATGGAACGAAAACGGATAAGTACTTCCAAACCCACATTTAGATTTTAGAGGTGCTGAACCAATCATTTCTCCATTAATTTTCCATCAGGCTTAGTCACTAATTACCAAGTTGGTTCATAAGATTTGAAACTGTAACCACTTCTTTAATTACTATATTTTCTTATTTTATTATGTTTATTTTGTGACAACGTGCAGTGAAACGCAGTGCCATGAACACGTTACGTAACACTTGTGAGTGGGCTCCAGCCAGACCAGAAATTTCAAGACAATACAATATGTATATTCTGTCAGGAGACGCCTCATGCAATGTCTCCCAGTATTTTCACCACCTGTTATTTCATTCTTCATACACTCCTGATAAATTCACTCCCCGCAATAATTTGTCAGTAAAAAATTATGAACATTACAAAATACCTATTAAAAATTCTCAACATTTAAAAGTGACATTTATAAAGACGGATTAACATTAAATGCTATTTATTAAAAATAATAATAATAAAAGTAATATACTGTCATACACTTTACATAAGGGTTATACTGTATATATTACACCAAGCTCCATCATCATTTCCTAGTGCTATAATCTTCTATTTATTTAAAACCCGAGAAGTGTGCTTAAGAAATATCAACATACTCAGTAAATTTTCTATGTTCAGCATCTATGGAGCCTCATTACCCTCCACGAATAAATGCACACTAAGAGTACTATACTGGAGGCAAACAGTCAAATTGGTTGGTGCCATATTGGCCAGGGTCAGCTGTTGCCAGGTCCAGGTAGTAAGTACGCGGACATATCTGGTAAAGTTTACATCTGACGAACCAAGCTCCTCAAAGTGAGTTAAAAACGGAAAACATCTTATAAATATCCAGACGCACTGAAACACACAAAAATCTGCTTTTTCAGCTGTATGATAGAAATTAAGGAAACTCTTTTACCAATTACCAATTCAGATCAGTCACTCCTGTACTTGTCGAGTTTCCCAGTAGTCCGGGAACCACTTATGGCCTTGGACATGTGTTATCACCGGTTATCTTTAGGAGGGGATAGACATTTTATTGACGGTACACAACGCATGCAAGAAACCCTTATATTATTAATGCTGTTAACGTTTACTTTTAACATTATCACTACAATTATCGTTACCTTCATTGTCCAAGTACAAAGATTCTGTGGCACTTAATTCGAAGACACATTTGATAAACTCCTAAACTTGAAATAAATTACTCTGCAACCAGAGTTGAGAACACTGGAGTTGGCAGTACACATGAAAATGTTGTGATGACCAACATTTGGGGATGTCTGAAGTTTCTGCAAGATGTGTTTCCCAAAGCCTCTGCTCTCAGATTGACAACAAAGGATGACCCCAAGCTGCGCGCTCAATGAGCTGCAAGAAGCCGATCCAGCTATCACTTAGACCCAGATTCAAAGGCAAAATTCATACAATAGAAGTACCTGAATTTTTCGATCCCTAAAACTTCAGGAGTCACCCAGTTACCATCAAGATTATGGCCTCGATTTTCAGGGATGCAAAAGGGATTCTGCTGGTCAACTAGCACTCTACCAGCCACATAAAAGAATGATCACTGGTGACCAGCATGCAGGCATAATACAAAAACTGCACAACGTCATCTAGGAGATGATAGGTAATACTAACTAAAGTATATTCCTGCTCCATGACAATCTGCTGGTCCACAAATCGTGTCACACTGTCTATTCATGACTGGTTTCGAGCAATTCAGCCACCCCTGCCTGGCTACAAGCAACTTCAGGACGTCTTCTACAAGACTGGCATACTGAGTTTGAAGGACAAGAGAAATAAGTGTGTTGAAATCACAGGAGACTATATTGAAAAACAAAATACGAATTGCGATTCTATCTTCTTAATATATGCCCAGTTAGCCAAACTTTTTGATTACCCACAAGTGCGCCACCCACAAACAGTTGACCT